CCCACCACTGTTACTGGTTTTCGTAACTACAACAAATCAGAAGAGAAAATTATGGCTTCCGCTTTAGAGATGCTGGGATGCAACCTTTTGGGAAGCCACAAACATAATAGTCTGACACTTTTTGGAAGGGAAATTAGAAGCAATAATGAAAAAATAGTCAAGAGGAAGAAACTCATTAACCTGTTCCACAAGCCCCGAGCATTAACAATACTTAAGCTCATCTTGGAAGTTTCCTTCAGGTAACACTATTTTGGTTAAAGATGGCTTTATAAAAATTTGCCTAGTGGTGCTGGTTTCACCTATAACTCACATTCTTGCTTTCCTTTTTATTTTGGGGCCTGGTAAGCAGATGTTATGGGAACAGAGTCAGACAAATCCTACCAATGCTGGTATTACACGCAGTAAACAACCATAGCAGCAGCGAAAATTTTCAACAGGTCCTCGCTTGATAGACGAGGACCCCGAAATGAAAAACTGAGCCCCCGAAATCCCACACCACGCTGAGGGAACACAAGATCGTGAACGAGGTCAAAGGAAAGAATCACGCCTGACCGAAGCGGCAACGAGTCTGACAACCCGAGCACCGCGGGGCGAGAAAGACGGAGGAACTGTTCACCACAAACAACAGCCCTCCCGCCCTCTTCCTCCCCCGCTTCCCCCGGGAGGGCGGGGGAAGGGAGGGCTCGCCGCCAGGCTCCCCAGAGCCGCCGGCGCAGCGGCCGGAACCGCTCCGTCCCCCTCCGCCAGGCTCAGCGCAACGCGGGCTCGCCCTTCCCTCGGTCCGAACTTCTCAAGCCAGCCTTAAAATGGTGCCTGACCGGGCCGGGCCCGCCCCTCCCCGGCGGGCGGCTCCGGGCGGCCTCCGTCGCCCCCGAGCTCCACCCCGGCGCAGGCCCTACCGGCCGGGCCCCCCGCCGCCCGCCCCGGTCCCCCCCAAGCCCCTCTCACCTGCCCGCGCCCCGCGTCCCCTCACGCCCGCAGAGGCAGCCGCGCCAGCCGCCGGGCTCCTCGCAGGGCTGCGCCGCACGCCAACAACGCCCCCTCCCGTTGGCCGAAGCGCCGGCACCTCCCTCAACAACAACGCCAGCGATTGGCCCCGGCGGCGCCACAGCCGCCACGCCGCACGCGGGCCATGTTGACTATCCGCCGGCGCAGCGCTCGGCCAATCAGGAGCGAGCGCGGAGCCGGGGGGGGAGGGGGGCGCGCTGGGACAGCGCGTGATGCGGGGGGGGAAGGCGGCTCGTGCCCGCGTCCTTAAAGCGACAGCGGCCGCGCGGGAGCGGTGAGCGGCAAGATGGCGGCGGGGCGGCCGGCCCGGCAAGGACGGGCTGAGGGGCGATGGCCGCCGAGCCTTCGGCTTGTCCTGAAGACGGCCCGTGCTGAGGGCCGGGAGGTGCCCCGGGGCCGGCCCTTCAAGCGCGGCGCAGCGGCGCGGTTCCTTCGGCCCCGGCCCGAGGTGAAGGGCTGCGCCTTAGCTAGATAACAATGTCACCGCGGGTTCAAGAACCGATCCGTATGCGTAAGACTGAACTTTCAGAGCTGAAAGAGCTGAGTGCTTACAAAAACAAACCCCCTTTTTGATGTTTCAGATCGAGCACCCTTTCGAAAATGGAGCTGCCAGCTTTTCCAGCATTGTTTCCTAGTCTAGATACGGACATAATTTCCTCTTACGTAAAAAAAAACAAAAACAAAAACAAAACAAAACAAAACAAAAAAAAAACAAACAAAAAAAACCAAACAAAACAAAACAAAAAACAACACGAAACCCAGCCTGGCTTTAGTTTGTGTGGTGATTTGTAAGCAGCAGATGCTTTGGGAACAGTGCGATTTCAGCATCTGAAGCCACTTAAGAATTTCAGTTATCTTTCACTGAGTAGGAAAATCCTCTAAGCCTGTACTGTGTCAGTGGATTCCCGTGTTCTAAAAAAGGGGTTTTCAAGGTCTGCAACTTCACCTTGGATTTCAGTCATTAACGACTAGGGTTTATCATCAGTCCTCTCACTGGCAAAATTAAAATTTGGAAACAGACCAATATTTTATTAGCAACTAATAATTACACTGATGTTGGATGAATTCAGTTATTGTAGGAATTTAAGTGACAGGAATAACTAAGGAGTTGTTAATAGGTGCCAATACTGTAATTAATGAGATAATTTTGAATTGCACTCAAAGACCTGAGGAACTGCCGGAATGCTGGACAGTCAGTTGCACAAACTGGCACATTTGGACATGCTCAGGGGAAGGTTCTTCCACTTCCTTTCTTTGCTTCCTGCTCCCTTTTCCTGTTTCTCCAAACCAGTAATTTTTCTAACAGCAGGTTAATGGCCTCCTCGTATTTACACGAATTCTTATTTGGGGACAATTTTTATCATGGTAGTGGCTACACTTAATTCTCAGTCTTCCAAAAGAAAAGCATAATGAACTCTGAAAGGGGAATTTATCTGAAGGTATTCCTATTCCACACTTTTGTTCTTGCTGCTGGTTCATAGCTGTCAAGTATTCTTTTAAGCCTTTTCTGTCCATTTTGTTAAAAGCTATTTCTTCCTTACATCCAGAAGACGTCTGCAGTACAAACTCCAAACATGGTCTTCTATACAGATGTGGGAGGTTTTGCTTGAGTATGTGATTGAGCTGCACCTTTCTGCTCTCGCAGGAATACACCACAGCCTGGTTAGACTGTTGTTGCACTACTGCATCTTCTGTGGCATGTGTAGAGTTTGTCCCTCTGCACTAGCTGCTGTCTTGTTAACGCAGTTCTCATAAATGCTGCAAACTCTGAATTAAATTAAAATCAGGATCATCTTGTAAAAGCAGATTTGGTTTCTTCTGGACCAAATATTAAAGCCTTGAAACAGGCCAGTGTTGGAAGTACTTGGCTCTCTTCCTGCACTGATGTATATTGAAGTAAACACGCATTTAAATTACCTTACATCCTTTGGATTTTTAGTGCCTCTCTCCAAAGGCATTAACCTCCCATGATCAATGAGGGATTTTTGCTGTTACCTAACCTCTCATAGCAAGGTGGTAGACTTTAGGACTGTGGATAAGGCACAATCTGTGGAGTCATCTTGCTGTCAGGTGCTCCGACTCTGCAGAGAGCTGCAAAAGGTATTTGCTGAATCACCCTGGCTTGATTTAAACAGCCAGCCAAGCATGCAAGAGCTTGGAGAACCAAAACTGAGAGAAGGAATTATGGCAGAGCTGCCAACCAGGTGCACTAGACACTGGAGAGAAAGCTCAGGCAGAGATCCGTAACTGGCATTAAAATGTCTGCGTCTTCTGCTCTGGGGTGGGTATTAATGGAAACTGCTCTCAGTGAGATGCCAGACATTCACAACCTAATTTGATAGATAAGACTTAGTTCATCAATGACTTTTTCTGGAGGGGGAGGAAGAACTTTGTTCATTGTTAAGTGGAGTCTTGGTACTAAATAGCTAATGTGCTTCTTAATTAATTTGTTCTGTCTCAGGAGGCATGTTAAGTACTATGCAAGTGGTACAGTGTCCTGTATAGAAATTGCCCTATGAAATTACAGAGAGGAGTAAAAATTCCTTTCCATATTTGTGTGGAATTGTGTAATTAAAGAGGGAGCTAAAGTTGGTCCAACAACTACCACCACCTGAAAATGGTTAAACTTAGCTTAAAATGTAGAAAAAGTAGCTGAAGGTATGTACTGTATGTGTGCTTATTTGCACACTTAAAATGCATCAGTGGCTTCTTGGAACAGCAGACAGTAAATACAAATGTTAGGATAAAGAAGTCAAAGAGTATCATAAATGTAATCGGGCACTCACTAGTTTAGTCTTTGAAAAGATTGGTGGCAACAAGACCAGACTGAAGAATTCACAGATTTTTCTGCCAGTACCTGAACAAACTGATGGAGGAACTTGTTCTCTTTAGTGGAGCAGTATTCACATGTGATGTTAATGTGAATATGCACATTAGAAAGGCTGGAAGGCACACTGAGCAAAAGACAGAAACAAAATTTGCAGTTGCCAAGTTTGGCCTTCAGCCAAGGGTGCAGTGAAAAACAGGAAACAGTGCACTTTTATGTTGCCTTGCCATCTCTGAATAAATTATTTGATAAGTGGGAAATAGAAACCTCCATGTTGAACAGACCAACACGAGGTCTGTATTCCAGAAAATTAAAATATTTTTAAAATTCCAAGATTTTGCTGTGGGGATTTTCATTTTCATAATGCTTAGAAAATCACATTCCAAACTGGCTTCCCTGTGCATGTGTGTGCATAGTTTGTCCTTTTCCTTGCTGAGAGGGGCAGGTGACTAAGACAGTGAATGCAGACCACTGCTGTTGGATTCCCTTCCCCTGGCTGCCAGGTCACGCTCACTAAGCCAGTGCAGTGGAATTCACTTAAGTGCCACCTTGATGGATTGCCAGGGAAGAGGTATTGTGCTGCGCAGTTTCAGTGACTGAACAGATCGATTGGCACAGCTTCACCGAAAAAGTAATCTTAAACAGTGTGTGTCCAAGCCTGGCTGCAGCATTCTTTGTTTGCTAGCAAGTCCTCCTTCACCAGGACTTTATGTGTCCTGTTATTTTTTTTGCTAAGTTGTGGCTGTAGAGAGGACAGATGTAACTGATCTGTAGTAGCTCTGGAGATTGTTGTTACAAATTCTAGGAGACTAAGTCTATTTTTCTGACTCTTTGCCAAGGTAATTGTTTTTATTATCCTGCTGTTTTGGAAAAGAAGCAACTCAGAACATGGGCAAAACTCTGATTTTATTTGGAGAGAATGAACTAACTTCCTGTTTGTGTAACAAGGTAAAAATATTTCAGCAACTTCTTTACAGGAGGAGTTGTCAATTTGTGTGCCTTTATTTTTTTTTTAATAGAAAATACTTAGGCTTGTCAACTAACTCACAGATGCTTCATGGAGCAGACATCTTCCTCGCTGACAATGCTCACTTCCAAGGACAGGTAAAACAGATAGGAAGAGAAAATTGCAATTGGAAGACCAGTTCAAGTATAGGAAGAAAAGTTCAAGTATGGGAAGGTTTAGAGTGTTTTATTGCTGGAGGAGTCAAATGACAAGCTTGCTTGAAGAAGGCAACTTCAAAAATGCATGAACTCTAGCAAAGCACTATAAAAAACAGGGGAGAGAGAGTAGCTGTGTGAAAGAACAGTGATCACCCAAGACACAAGGTGATCCTCAAGGGGAGAGGATTTCAAAGGCTCCGATCTTCATGATGTCTATGAAAAGAATCCCATTGATTTTAAGAGACTTTTGATGGTGTTCAGAGAGAATTCAAAGACAGGAATCCTGTTATGCTGCAACAAAAAACAAAGATGACTTTAGCAGCACTGATGTTTTGGATAAGTATTCTTTCAAATCTGTTTAAAACAATCAAATTGACAGACAAAACACAGAAATGGGAAGCATGAGCTAAATAATTTTGAAGGTAGACTAAGACCTTAATGGGGCAGTAAATACAGCAGAGACCCTTATCTGACATGACTAACTTTGAATTTAAAAAAAATACTGAGGTAGGAAGCAGTGTGTGCATGTCGGAAGCATACAAGAAGATGGGAAGACAGGAGAGTTGTCCCAGAAACAAAATGAAGCATTTGGGAAGGGAAAAGGCCATTTTTGATTTTTTTTTTTCAAATCCTTAGAATCTTTAAAATCGTGGAATTGGATGAGGGAAAAAAACAGGCTGTGGGGGCAAAAGCTAGGGTATTATCATGGAGATGTCATAACTAACAACCCAGGAGAGCAATGGATTAACAGCGTCTTCTCCATAGTTATATACTACCTAGCTTTAAGCAAGTGCTAACTCAGATTAACAAAAAAGAAATTCTGTAAGCAAATTACTATCACTATTTGACATACGTAGCAGCTTCAGGAGCAGCTTAGGCACATCCCATTCCTTCATGGATATCCTGAGTGCACATGCATCTTGGGGGAGCATGCTGGGAAGAAAACGATGAGCTGATAACGCTGAAGGGGGTTAGAATCTAGAATAGTATAAAAACACAACCGATCCTCTTCTGTTCACAGACCAGGGGATGGAGAAGTTGCCCTCATGGCTGTGGCTGGCTGGCCGAAGTACCACTGTGCAGTTTACGCATGCATTTGTACAATTCATTAGAAATTAGCAGAATAATCAAATACTGAATGCAACATGGATTAAATTAGTAAGAGTAAGCTAAAGTAATAGTAAGCTAAAGTAAAAGCTCTGTAAACCACATTTCAAAAAGATGGCTCTACATTATTCCCACTATACAAAGGTCACATAAAACTTGTACTTTACAACAGATTTTATTTTCTGCATACAAGATGCGTGTGCTTTACTGACCTTAACATTCAGTATGTTTTCAAAGGCAAATACAGACAAACTAGGAAAAAAACCCTACAAGACCTTTCTGTTACTGCAAATATGTTAATTCCTTACAAGGAGGAATATAAATATAAAAATATAAAAATAAAGCAAAGATGTTTTAATTAAGGAGAGGAACATAGCCTAATGGTTATGGCATGAACCTAAGAGTTGAGAGAACAGAGGTGTCACAGTATGACCTTCTGCAAGTCACTTTGAGGTTTAAGAATACTTGATGAATATAAATCTGCATATTGGGCACTTAGCTGTTACATGCAGTTGTAAAGTAGGTGAGATATTTTTAGGATTTCATGAACTTTAGTTCGTTTAGTAGCTATTGCCAGTTAAATGCATTATTAGGCAACATAGAACTGTCCTTGCAGACACAGTGCGACTGAACTACATCAGAAAGATTATTAACTCAGGGTTAAATTATCATGACAAAAACATCAGTCTTGAATAATGAGCAATGTATAGCTGTATTTCCTAATTGCAAACCAATCCACAAACTGTATCTCAGTTAGAAACCCTGTGTTAATTCCTCATGGCTCTGAACAGGTAATTAGGTACTTTGGCAGCACTCCTGTTTCCTTGGAGGGACAGCTCCAAGAATGCAGCACCCACCTGTTTGTTCAATGCAGATGCATTTGCCTTGTACTTACCCACTTGATGCAACTGCAGGTTGAGCAAAGATGATGATCAGTTCCCTTTTGCAATAAAGGGACTGTTAGCTTCTACTATGCAAAGTGTTCTGGGTATACTTATGAGAGTTTTTAATAACAGCAGCTAGAGTAAGTATCATAGTGGAACTACCCACTTTTCCTGCTTATGTAAAGATACTAAAGTCATCTGGAAAATACCATTCTTACTGTGGGACAAATTACTCGGCTCCCATTCAGTAGTAGATTTTTCTGACTGTGATATAATCCAGAATGCAAGCTACAGTGGGTCTTAGATAGAGATCAGCATGCAGGGCAAATTGACCAAAGCCTGGACAGCTATAATAAAAAGAATCCTTAAGTGGGTTTGCTGACTGAGCAGCACCTTCCCAAATAGAACTGGCAACCATTCAACCTGCTACTGTTGTTGTGAAGAAAGTTCTTACAGGTTGGCTTTTTTAAGAATGGATTTTTATTGACTTTCCAGATGACATTATTAATCCACGTAAACAGGATTTTTACTTTGCACATAATAGAAAGTGTAAACAGAAATGTGAGCATCAGTATATGCTCGCTTCTTCAATGGTGACCCAGCACTCGCCTTCTAAAAAAAGTCCAGTTGTTTTCAATTTATACTTCCATTCTGAACCATTTGTAGATACTCCTTGTATAGCTTTTCCTGGGTTTCATAAAGTTTCTTTAGCTTCTTAATCTGTCCTTTGCTGAGTTCTTTGCCTTCTGTATCATGTGTAGGAAATCCCTGAAATATTAAAAAAAAAAAAGAGAGAATTTTTAAGGTAAATTCTTTGACTACTTTTGTTCCTTATGGAATTGTGTTTTAATAAGACCGGATGATAATGTCATAATGATAAGCTGTCAGGATAGGGTGCATCTTGGCTAAAATTAGTCACCTAGAAGTCTGACAACCAACTTTGACTATTTGTATATGTTCCCCTCCTAGTTAATGAAGGGACAAAGCGTGTATTTATTTTCTGTCCTGTACTAAGTAAGGGAAGTTTAGACAACTAACTTCTAGGTGGTTATAGTTAAGAGAATAATGACTAGTCTGTGAACAGATGGTTAAGAGATCACTTTTAATCATAATGGCACATTGAATCCAAGGCTTAAAGCAAAAGCAGAAAGAGATTTGTGTTTTCGATGGAGAAAGTACGATCAGAATTTTTATGGGCATTGTCCTTGGCTTGCAGGGGTATTTTCTAGTATTTACACTCTCCATTCTTACTTGCCCTCAGGGCCTGAAGTTGCGTGTTTGAAGATGACAGGCAGAAGCAGGATCAATGTCTTGGACCAAGCACTGAGAAGCAGTGCTTTATGTTTTCGGAGTAACACCGTTTATCCTCACAGGGAGCAATGAAAGCAGTTATCCATACAGCCCCTTCAGAGATCCTTCGCCAAGAGAGAGCAAAACAGTGAGCAAAGCCAAAAAGGAAGCACAGGATCTCTCTGAATAGCATCAGTTCTAGGAGAGTTGGGGAGTTTGTACTTGAAAGTGAATTCCTTGCCTCGCAACAGGGTAATAAATCTGTGAACAAACATCATACATGTCCCTACCCACAAAATCTACAGGGAATTTTGCTCTGCAATGAGAGGGGTCAAAGGAGATCAGTGTACAATGAAAATACCCTTGAAATGATGGCTAACAGCTGGAGAACCTTGCTGCCCAATGTGAGGTGTGTGCAATAAAATTAATGTATCGCCTTTTCGTTCTCTCCTCCTCTCACTTTGTTAATAGCACTGCCCTGGATGTTCTGGAACAACATCAGCTGTGTACGTATACAATTGAGTATGTACAACTGGGGAAGGAAAACCACTATCTAAAGAAAAGTCTCTTACGTTTTCATCAAACATGGAATATTTGTCATGTTCTGATTTAAACATTTCATGTGGTGGAATCTTCATTTTTGCCAGCTTTGCTGCCTGTAATATAAAACAAGCATTAACATCACAGTTAATTATTGACAACCCGTCACATAAACAAAAAGAAAAGCAGACTATAATTTGCAAATTAAAGAGCTTTTAATTAATAATTGTTTATCACGTGTAAAGAAACTTTCACTGAGGAACAGCTTGGTAAGTCCTACTTATGCTTGTCCAGGGGAAAAAAAGGTGTTTTAAATCTGTGGAGAACCACTTACTAAAACAGATGTATTGCAGAAACTCAAAGTAACTCACTTATATGCTCTAAAAATTACATCTGATTTTTGCTAATTTGGGTTCTTAGTGCTTTAGATGAATAGTTGCTACAAGTAAAGAATATTAAGCAATTAACTCACTGCAAAGGGAACTATCTTTACCAACAGTTTCCTGCTGACAAGCACAGGTTTCTGTGCAGGTCACAGCAGCATCAGGCTGCAAGTAATTACACTAAAAAGAAACTGAATTTTCACTTATCTGTAAAACAAGCACAGCTCAGAATCCTTTCCAAGTATTTTATAACCAATGCAAAGGAATCACCTTTTTGAAACAATGCAAAAGCAACTTGGAATTTGTGAATGATAAATGCTAGTTATCTGTTTTTCTCTCTGGACATGGCAGTCTCTAAAAGTTTACTTTGTCTTTTAACCCAGGAACACATTTCCTGTACTGTTAAAAGTCATGAGCATGGCAAACAATCTTTTCTTCTTACAAGATCATCTCCTCTGGCTGTCTACTCCTCATCCAAAGCCTAAAACCTTTGAGCTATCTCAGTTCCAACTGTAGAGATAAAATGTGTTTTCACAAAACATGACATTTCAGAGTTCAGTTATAGGGAATAGGTGAATTCCTAAAGAGAAAAAAAAAAATTTCACACATACCTATGATACTGGAAAGGGAAGAAAATAATGAATGACACAAGCAAAATCTTCTCTAACAGGCATGTAAGATACTACTTTGGTAATTAAGGACTATAGACTAAAATAAGTACTATATGTTCTTCTGAGAAGCTCTTGCAGCTTTTAGTTGTGTTTTCAAAGACAGCTTCTCTACAATAGAAGCTGAAAATTCAAGCCTGAACTGCCAGCCAAAGTCATTCTGAGCAGGAAATTGTAGACAAACAAAAAGAGAAAAAAAAAAAAGGAGGCCCGGTTAAGGACGGGCAGAGAGCCTGTGTTCTAATCTTTCCTGCACGTGACTATTGCTGCTAACACTTTTCTTCAAAACCAGATTAAAAGGATCTGAACACTTACTTCCTGCTGTTGTTTTTTCCTGGCTGCTTCTTCTTTCTTCCTTTTTTTCTCTTCTTCAATCTATGAAAGGCAATCTTAGTAAGTAAAATGTAACTAACTATTTCATTTGGTTGTTATCTACAAATCTGAGCCAGCTAGCTCCCCTGAATATCTAATTACAGACAGAACAGGCAGCATGACCTGCAGCAAAAACATCATGCCTTATAATTAGGATTTTCTGATACTTCCCACTGTACGACTTTCATTTCATTGGCTTTTGCTCACAGTTAAACCAGTTTTAACTGTTCAGAATGCACTTTGCATGCAAAGTGTATACACACAAAAGAACACCTACAAAGCCTGCAAGAGAAATGGTCTTGCCATTTCACACGGAAAAATGTTTTGCAAATGACTTTAAAGTAAGACTGTATTTCACTAGTATTTTAAGCTCTTGCCTCAAACTGTTAAGACGTTACAGTTTCTCAAGAAACAGTTGTATCCCTTGATGTTCCTAGGGAAACAACTATCCAAATTTAGCCAACTTATAAGACTTAAAAAAAAAAAAAGAAAATCTCATCTCCCACTTGCTTAGGAGAGGCCTATCAGTTCTCCAGGGGTTCTGCCAGTACTGACCACAATACTCTTTCCAGGGAAAATGTACTCTAGCTACAGGTACCACCCAGCAGCTATAGACAAACTGCCTTCAGATGTCTTTTTGATGAAGATGCCTGGAATTGGCTGAAAGTACATTTTACTTCTCCCTTTTCTAAAAAACATCTACATGGAAGGACAAATGTTTGAAAGTTAAAACTGAAGACAAACATATGAAATGTTACTTAAAGTGTTACAGAGCCAAATATTAATGCTAGGAGATGCCAAAAGGAGGGTTTCTGTACAGACCTTATGCATGTGAATTAGAATTCACAATCTTTATATAGTACCATGTGAATTCTTGCCCCCACACCCTGAATATCTCACTCGTCCATACTACATTAATTAAGATTTAGCCAGTGCATTTTGTTCTCACATATCAGAAAAATACAGTCTAGTTTTATGGAAAATGTCAACTTCATTTGCACAGACAAAAGAAGTCTGAATTCACTCCACACTGGAATCGTTCTTCCAGAAAGGTAAGACAGTATGCATGGAATACTCAACATCCCTTAATTACATGAAGATCTTAAAAAACAAACAAAAAACCTTAGAGGTATTCATTAGGTCCCATACAAATCTTTCAAGAAGCTACTGTTTCAAAAATTCTTTTCCTGAACACACTCAAATTTTAGTATTAATTCTCTTATGTTCCTTGTCGCTAGTCTGTTAGGATTTTTCTTACAAGTTACCAAAGAAATGTAACAGTATCCATAGGTTACACATTACTTTAAATTTTAAAAATAACAAATGCTTAAAATAATAACAACCTTTTTCTTTTCTTCTCTTTCTTTTAATAACGTGTCCTTATCCACTAATTTAACCACAGTTGGGAGTCCTAAAGAAGCAAAAACAGATGAATGAGTTTCCAGTGCTTGAACAGTCAAAGATAAATATATTTACCCTATGACAACTGTTTTCTTTTTGCAAGCTGAATGCAAAACCAGCTGAGTAACTACTCAAAAGAGACTAAGAAATTAGGTGCTATACAAAGAGATATTGCAATGTACGTTTTTATATTCTATAGATATATTTCAATATAAAGTTCTATAATATATATTCATACATCAGAAATACGATACGCTGTAGCTTTGCAGTCCTTGAGTTTGTTGGATTATTCCAGATTAGTCTTGACAGGCTGTTTTCCCACTTCTTATGGAAATAAGAAGATTATAGAAACAGCTGTGTACAAAGTTGCCACACATAATTGGGTACCTTCATGATCTTCAAATCGAACACCAAGTTCAGGAAGGATGTCATCCCGAAGAGCATCACTCAACTGCAGCACTTCAGTTACTACAGAGCATGAAAAATACTTTTAGTGAAATAAGATTTGGTGAAAATATTCTTCTATCCTGCTACATACTTATTTAAAAGCAATTAAGAAATTGCTACTCTCTCACACAGGTCAGAGAAAGGTCTTTTATTTTAAAGTAATAAACCTTTTAAGTAAGTTTTGCCTTCTTTTAGCTACACAGAAAAGAAACGTGTTTCTTTGCAGGGAATTGAAATTCATAAATTTCTTCCAAGATACCTCGTTGTTCCTGAAAGGGAACAGAAAGAAAATCCAAGGCAATTCAGAAATAATGCAACAATTCTGCCAGGGTATAGTGGAAGGGTATATGAGTCAGGAAGGTCCCAATGGTTGCCGTAGGATTTCCAGTAAGAACAGTTAAGAACCCTATTTTAGAAAAATCACAAATTAACATATCCTGTTGCACATCTAACAGTGCCTTTGAAGGACTATGATTTTGTTGATTTGTTATCTACGCAGACATCTATCAGAACAACCGTAATCCGAACATTCTCTGCTTTTACAGATAGCTATCTTTACCACCTAATCCAACCAATCTGTTTTATCAAGCAAGCTAGTGCAGCAAAGAGAATTTTGATTTGGCCTTCTCAATGGTGATCAGAACATCATGACTAACATTTCTTTTTCTTGCAAACTTATCAAAAAGCCTTTGATGACAGCAAATGGTTAAGAACTCAAGATTTAGCTGACATAGATACTACCAGGTCTTAAGAGTAAAATAAATCTTCACACAAGTTATTTACTTGGATGAGAACTTGTATCAGCCAAGAAGCAGCAGAACAGATAAGAGGAACTAAGTGCATCGGGAAGACCCAGTATGTTGCTGTTAGGAACTTAATTCAGTGGCATTTTTAACAGTCTTGTATTTAGGAGGAAATGCTTACCAAATGTGACAAGATATATACCTGGGTTAGATGATACCATGTCCTTATAATAAACAAGTGTTCTTCCTTTCAGCAACTCTCAGCTGGTTAAACCTAAGGAGTAGTAGGGGTCTCCAAGGTAGAAATTCTGGCAGTAGAAGCTACCATCCAGACACCATACTAAACACTGCACATACCAGCAGATGCAAGTACCACCCCTGAGCCTTCATCTCTTCCTTAATTCTCAAAGCCTCAGAGAGCTGAACAGTGAACAGAGCACTGACTATCCTAATGCCATAAAAAGGACCAGCCACCCTATTTCATTCCATGGTAGTGTTCTGTGACTCCCTCTTTGTAGAGGAAAGCACTGCAGTCTGTAGAAGCTCTTCTGCCTGCCATAAACTAAGTTGTTATTTTTCTTTATTCAGAGCAGTTATACACAGTGAGCCACATTCATCTTTGATGCAACTCTAAATAAGCCCTTAAAATAAACAAGGGATACGATTACCTCACTGACTGTTAACACTAAAAGGTGTTGACTCTAACCCAGGCAAAGGAATTATACATATCATATCAAGAATGTATCAGATACACCTACTGCTTATTCAATAAAGCAGCGTCTGCCCAGTTAGAAGTATTTCTTTATCTGAAATCATGAATAATTGAAAGTTTAAGAAAGCCATCAAGATAGAGAATAAGGAGAAATGTATAACAAAACATGTATTATTTATGAAAGGACACATCCTCTGATCAATCCGCTGTCATCCCAAGGAGTCAGCACCATGCTTCTTAAGGCTGCAATGTGCCTGTTCTTTGCATGTGGCACCTCCAGAGCGAATACGTTTAGGGGTTGGTAGGGGTGTTGTTTATGGGCTGCCCCAAGACACAAGCCATTATCCTCACTGAGGACAGTGACCAGGAAACCAGTGGGATACTGCCTTATCACCAGTGCCCATGGACACCTGTGACTATTTCCCAGACCTCTTTTCACATTTTCTGTGAATTTCAAGCCAAAGAGTCCCTGATGTGAAACAGATGTTGTGTTGTTGTGAATGGGAACACTGCAATGGGGAGGAAAAGGAGTAGCATAAAAATCATCTTGAGAACGCTGGATGTTAACAGTTACAATCATCAAGTTTGTCCCAGTTCTGGACAACTGATGATATATATTAGGGAGAGGGCAAAGGGTTTCCCACTGTGCCCTGGACACAGCTTAGAGCAAGATACCACAAGGCATCAGCATCTGTGGCAGGAAATAAAGATGCAGGCAGAGTTCAGTACCTTTACCACAGCATAGTCAGTTTGAGCAGATGTCCTGAGGTAAGTAACCCACAACTGAAGAGACTTGCTCCTGTTTGAACATCTGCACAACAATTTGTTGCTAATGAGAATTTTTCCCAAGCATAGGGGCCTGCACTAAAGCACAGATCTGCTCTGCTGTGCATCCTTGCAGAGACAGGGTCTTTGCGGTTGGTCAAATGCACAATATAGAGATGCTCTGACCAACCAATCATTGATGTCTTTTGCAGAGGTTTTCTGCATTTCTTTACCTTGTACAACTAGCACAGTGTTTTCCTTTTTCTGTTTACCACCATTGCTAGATATGTTCACAAATTAAGTCAAGGCTCAGCTGCAGATGATCAGTGCAGGTCTCCAGTTTGAATACTAATAAGCTTAGTAAGATAAATTCTCTATTTTATAATATGTTTGAATGATAACCCTTCTTGATGATGGCAAAAATTTTGTGGAGTAAATACATTTTGATTCTTACCAAACCCCATGGTTTTACAAATGGCTACTCTGTGAAATGTTTGGTAGATACAGATACATTTTTAAAAGTTGTATGTATATGGATGGGGGCATTTATATTACTCTGCAGGTTTTACAAAAGCAGCATACTTTTTAACCTATAAGAATACTTAAAGCAGTACAGAACATTAATATTTAACACCATCCTGCCAGCATCAGTCTACGCTGGGGAAACTCCCTTCATTTATGACCATGTAGAGGTAATATCCCCAGCCATTATTCAGAACAACTTTTACAGTAATTTATCACCTCCTGCAAGCAAGAATTTAATGGGTACAGGAAAATAAATCAGTAGCATGCCAGTGCAGGTCCTGCCAACCACCACTCAGCTTCCATATATCAAATAGTTTAATGAAAGGTGCCTCCCTGGTCAAACTGCAGAGTGCCCTGTACGCCAACTAAATAGCAACTAGATCCAGCTTTATTCTTACTGCCCAATTTATTTCAGGGAAAAAATCAATACCTTCCAAGTAAGAAACTCAAGTGGCAGTAAGCAGTCTAGTGCTTTACATTCTAAAAATGATCTGCGAGCCCCATGATATTTCAACCTGATCGCTGTTAAGAGTGAGGATCAGTTTAGCTCAACCATCAGAAAGCAAGGGGAAAAAAAAGCCTCATATAAAATGAGCATTTAAACACTGAAAGACCAAAGGTCCTATTTTTGGCTAAGGGTATACACACAAACTTCTTGAATTAATTCAAATTACAGAAAATATTTGCTGTTGGAACTAATAAACCTGTTTCCCAGCATCAACTAGCCCTATAGGAGTTTGACAGTAATAGCTGAGTAGTCACATTAACAAATACAGTTTTGTGCTTTTAAGGTGAACTTATTAATCCTTAGAAGGACTCAAACCAGTAGCAGAATTAGGGTTCAGATTCTTTGCCAGCTGAATAGGTTGTCAAGCAGACACTACAAGTAGTTTTATATTTCTGTATAATATATATGTTTAATATATAAAAAAATGCCCTATTTTGCCTTCAAGTACAAATAGTGTAAAAAAGTTTTAAGAAAACAAGAATCAAATACATATTAAAATAATGTAAAATTCCACAGGGAACAGCAGAAAATAGAGCTCCATTAGGAACTAATCAACCAGTAAAATCAAAGAGGGCTTAATGGGTCAACCTTTTTAACACTATATAGTTCTGCTGCCAACACACACAGCATGATCAAAGCTTTTCAGAGGGGAAAAAAAAAGCGCCCAAAACAACTAGCAAACTCCCAAACGAATTCTCAAAAAGACAGCACTCAATTAGCATCAGGGGAGCTACAATTCCAACTATGCTAATGAATAAGAATGAACATCTCAAGCTACTTAAACAGAGACAGTATCACTGTATAGCAATCTACACTTTTAAGAGAACACAAGCTCCCTGGGGGGAAGATCAGATCATGGGTACTTTAATACCTAGAAAGCAGGGAGTGCCCTAATCTAGAGAAACAACAGATAGTCCTTGTCATTCCAGAACTTTTAGATACTTGGGGAAACTAAAATAAAATCAGTGTAGCAGCCTGTAAAAGATGCCCAAATTAAAGAGACAGGGAGCAGAGATGCAAATGTTCAAACCAGCTCTGATTTAAAGATGCCTTACTTTTGTTCTCCAAGCAAAGAGAGACTGTATCAACTGGTTCAAACCCCCCCGTTTGATTCATACGACCTCTGAGTCTCCTGTGCAATAATACAGGAAAAAAATGAACTCTTACCTTTCTTCTCTCTGGCAATTTGTCGCACTCCTTCCCTGAATTCAGAAAGAACTTGTAGGTATGGCATCACTGTAGATTCAATCTGCAGAGTAATTTCTACAGTTAGCTAGTCATAATTTAGACATAAAACATGTCTTTACCCACTTCATATTTATGTGCTGTTGGATGGAACTTGACCCTCAGGGCAGATCTGTATCAATGAAAATTGTCATTGCTCTTTTGGTGTCAAGGGATAGATGATAACTTGCATTAGCTGTCTATTTTCCTTTTGTGCAGATAAAATCAACTTGTGAAGTTTTACCTCTTCCCTTCCTTTTTTGTCTCCTTTCAGTTACAGATACATCAGTTCCATAGGGTTATGCTACAATCCAGCTAATTATAATGCAGTACAGGGATAAAAACCACACCCAGACAAATCTGTGCCTTCATATTCTGTGTTGTTTTACTTAGGTCCAGCTGCTTGTCAGACATAAAATCAGGTGAAAATGATGTTAGGACTTATTTTCATTAGAACATAGATCTGTTCCTCAGATGTTAGCTTATGATAATTTATTTATTTCCAATACAGTGCAGTTGTCTATATTCCTCACACGACTCCCTCCCCCACAAAAAGTGGGTAGAGACTACTGTTGAATTATTTCAGGTGTAAGTAAATGCCAGTCATGACAGCTCAAAGAAAAAGTCCTGAGAATCCTGCTTTCAATGGTAGTGAATAGCAACAGCAAGCAGTTAGTGAACAGCAATGAACAATTACAAAAACAACTACAGCTCAGCACTGCCTGCCAACACTTCTCTGGAATCCCAGGAGGAGAAGCCAGGCACCCAGGGGACTGCTTAAATCAAAAGTTTCATTACTTTGGAGGGTGGGGGAGAGAGAGGAAAAAAATGCACACTTTTGTTTCCCCAACAGTTTCCACGTGCCTTTCCCATCTGTTAAATCTCCATGACAAATTTCTGTGCAATTAACAGACAAGATAGTCTGTTATGCTCTGAAAGTGCCCATATGAAAGGAGCTGAGGGGCTCTGTTAAAACTTTTGATAAATCTGAATACGATGCAATCAGTGTCACAACTGGAACCATTGCTGACAAGTATGGCAGAAGGAACAGACTCTGGAAAGTAAGCAACAGTCACATCTCCACTACCCCCTTTACACTGAAACTAGCTCAACATGCAAATGAAGTGGTGCCAGGAAAGCATGCACTGTCACTGATTTATCAGTCATTTAAAGATGAAAGATTTTTATTTCCAGAATAACTAATTCAACAGCAACACTTGGTTCAGTTCAAGAATGAGACTATGGAACCTGAGGTTTTCTGACTTCAAATGTCTTCTATACCCTTTCAAGTAAATTACTGAACCATGGTAATTAAGCCAGTTGTTCTTTCAAAGCTTTTGAAGAGGATTATGCCTTTTTGGCAGATAATGACTATATTGGTTCCTTCATCTCTAATTTAGGCAAAGAAACAACAGGCCTGATCCACAGCCTTCTGTAATTAATGGTAAGTTTTCCAACCTTGAATGTTCACCTGGTAATTTTTGCTATGAAAAATAAGTATCTGCATGGAAGATTGAAAGAGGGTATAACGTTTAATGACATAGCCAAAAATATTTGTGATATTATGAAACTTTACATTATAATGCTTAAAACTAATAATGTCCTAGATGATAAAACCAGAAGTTTCTTGTGTGTAACAGGTGTTAGAACATGATTCTTTCTGAACAAGGTTCTTCTGACTGTACTACCCTTGGCAACTTTACTTTAAAGGAGTGAAAGGGCTTAGCTTCTTGTTCCAAGCTATTGCAAATCCTTCCATGAAGCATATGTGTTGTAAACACTGCCTGAATTAAGTGCTAAATATAAATTTAATTTTCATTTTGCCTAAAAAGATAAGTGTTAAGGTGCTACCTTTCATCTGAAATTCAAAATAATTCTCAGCTAAATTGAAATTCACTATTGATGGGTTTTGGTGTGGAATACTGAGCATCTCCCTTATTATCCTTGTTGTATCATTACTAGAGATTTCCACAGCAGTAATGTCAGTATTTGCATAGGGCAATTATCGGATGAGTGTTCATTCACATTCTTTAACCACAAGCAAGCCTTCCTCTTCCTTTGAATAAAAAGTTTAGCCATTTTTTTTTTTTTACAACACAAATGTCTTAATTATTCCATCTAAGGAAGAACAGAAAAACATGATCACACCTTTGAATGCAGAAAAATACTTGAAAAACAGCACTGATTTATCCATGTCGAATTTTTTGCGTGAACAAAGAGAGCAAAGTTGATAGCTTTCATACAGAGTTATTTCTGCTGCCTGCACCACAAAAATTTACTGTTGTTACAGGCCCCATCAGCACTTTCATCAGGTATCTCCCAAGTATTTCCAGAAAAATTCTGCATCACAGTGGAACTGCTAGGTGACCAAAGCAAAACAGCCTTCAAAAGCCAGATAAAAACTGTGGCTACAAATGAGATCAGAAAAAAAGAGATTGAAATGCAGATAAAACTCCAGCTGCCTCCAGGCTGGCTTTTGGTGTACCACAAGGAAGTTTAATCAGTATAATTATATTTTTGAAATTACTTAACACACAAATACTTGTAATGAGTCTTTAGACTGTAGCATGTGCTGTCTGTAGTTAACATGTGGTTTCTTAAACAGACTCATCATTCAGAAGACAAGATAATTCTTTTTATGGTCGCTATACAATTTGTCTGTCATTAAGTCAAACAAACCTATAAAAAACCCCAACTCTCATAAAAGAAAAATCCTGCTTCCTAAGCCAATTACTTCAGATTCAAATGTTAAAAGCGGGAAGAATGGAATTCGGCTACATACCAGTAATGTAGTCGCTTTATCTAACCTAAGCTTTCTAAGCACACAGAATAATTTTTATAGTGTACTTTGTCCTTCACTTACATTTATGTTTTGACTATTCCCTCCAACAGGAAACCCAATTGCGTCATCACTTTCTATGGCACCAAAAATCTGGTCAAGATAAAAAACAAAAAAAAAAAAAAAGAGAAAAGAAAAGATTGTATACATGAAGTCACAGGTATGTGAAAACTAAGCAAAATCACATGTACTAGGGTTTTGAGGCCACCTAGTTCTTATTTAACCCACAATTCACTGCTCTAATAAGATGATGTTTTGGTTTTTAATTAATACAGCATACTAAGCATTGGCTTTCAGGTTTAGCTTTAAAGCTGTCAAATTTGGCATTCTGACTTCACATTTTTTCTACTATCTCATTTTCCTTGCATGTATTAGGGGCTGAAATTATAATTGTAACAAAGGACTCTGAATTGTTCCTGCTGCAGCACACACTGCAGTTCGGGGTTATTTTGGTTGAGGTGTGTGTGTAAGACCTCTAGTTTGCTACAAGAGTTAACAAAGACTGCACAGATCCCTACTTACTTGAAAAATACAACAGTTATAATTGCACAGTGCAATAGCAATGTTTCTATTTGCTATTACATACCTTTAGCATTTGAGTGAGATAGGAACTGATGTTTTCTAAAAGAAGTCTGTTTGGCATTTGTCTGGAAGATTTCTTTGCAGCAATATAGGAGTTACTCTGACTGACTAATGAACGCATTTCTTCTAAGACAGAGCGAGTGTCAATATTGTCACACAGTGCTTCATGAATTGCTGCCTTCTTGTCGTAAAAACTAAGAAGAAAAAAATTTTTTTTTACTATTGATGTCAAAAGTATCTGCAACCTACTCTGAAGAATCTCTGTTAGAAGAATAAGGGAACCTAAAAGTGAGATAATCTTTTGTTGGTCATCATTTATATTGGAAGGAAAAACAGATGAGCAAGAACAAGGCATTATCACAATGCTGCTGTTTTGCTGCTACGGACAAAGGCAGGAAGCATAATCTAATTGGCAACAACTATCCAAACAAGTTACATCAATCACTTTTTCAGCAACTGACCTTTTCATACCAGTTTTTTAAAGGAGTACAAATTGCTTATTTAGTATCTTCTTGTGCTTACTTTTTTTTTTTTTTTTTTTTTAATACAGCATTGCTCCCCTAACCCTATGACCAGCCAAGTACTCTTTTCAGCAAGAAGCACCAATTTGGAAGTTAACTTACCACAAAGTGAAGTGTTATGAAGCTGTTACAAGTAGATACAAGGAATAAATTCATGTAAATCTTTGTAATATTCATGAATAGCCGTAATAAGTAATACAGTATATTAAGTACCATTTCGTCACACAAGCGGTACTACTGTTTCAAACAACATACTTTTTCCAGAAAAAAGAGAATGAGAAGTGGTAGAGAAAGAAGACCAAACCTAATACGCATGAAGCGTATCTTCTGTTCCCCCCACCCTGTCCCTTCCTTTTGACCTCTCTATCACTCACTATCTTCCCCCTTTTTAAAAAAAGGGTTGTCTCTACCAACCTCAAGTTGAAGAAGAAATTTTTAGGGGACGTCACTCAACAGAAGCATCTGCAGTTGGTCCTTCAGTAGTCAACATCTGTTCACAACAGTGAACTGAACTAAGAACAGTTTTAGTACTGCAATGTAAGATGCTTCTATTTTAAATTTCACACATAACTGAAGTCATATAGGAAGCTGTTTTTATTATAAACAGCTATGATAGTTTTGTTATAAAAGCGAAAGACAGCAATACTAGTATCACTGTGTCTCTCAATAACACACTGTCAAACATCGCCACTCTGATCTTCTGTGCTTTTAGTCAGGTGGTCTAACTTCTGTTTGTCTCTGCTCACTGAACTCTGAAACGTGTCAAATACTATTTTTCCACTTGTAACCACTGTGAATTACTGGTCACTTCCCAGACAGAAGGACAGAATTTCTCAAGTAGTGAAGAACAAGATAGCTATCTAACAGAAAAGTTCTCTTTCCCTTCACAAACAGGGTGATGAGGCATGACAGTGTACTTAATGTAAACAGAAGGGAAATTAACTGTTTCATCTGTACTTCATAAAGCTGTTGCAAGGTTAAATTCAGTAGCTTGTATAGAGTTGAGACACTCAGTGGAAATGCTACAGACTTTTAAGTATCAGTAGATACATAGTAAGTCATTTTACAAGGGAAAAAGAAGAAAAAAAAGAAACATGTAGCTACACAATGGCTATTCACTGCAAAACAGAATGCTCCACTCACTTTTTGTTCAGCTCTGCTTCCTGATTTTCCCATTTCTGAAACTGGCCTGTCACCTCATTGGGAGCTCGAAGAATATCCTTCACATTTAAAAAGAACTCCTATAAAAGAAAAATATAGATAAAAATCAGTTTAAAATAGACACAACCGATATTTACTCTGAAAAGGCATTATTTCTTAATTAGCCTTCTAAAGTTTATGGTTTCAGCACTGTTTCAGCCAGGATCTACTGAATGTCTGTCAAAACAAGGAAACCCACACATTTTGCATAACTCTGTAAATCACAGGTAGACTGCAATTCAGTTCTCTCTCTTGGCTCTGCCTCTGCATGACACACTGATACTGTAACACCATGCTGCTCAAATACAATACCATTTTTAAAAAGTTTAGGCAAGAGTTGTTATTTTAAGGTGTGCTGCTAACAATGGAAGCTGAAGAATAAATATGGCTTTATAGCACGGGCCTATTTTATGGGGGCATCCAGCTTGGTGAAAAGTCATTTTCACTTATTCTGTGGCCCAAACCTAACACTTTACATAAAAAGCAGAATAGCTTCAGCTGGAGAGACCGAGATCTACGATCTCAAAATGCTGTACAGCCTCCTTGTGAGAAACGTGGGTTTAAATCACAGCTTCAAACTAAGCAGGGAAAGGAACTGTGCCTGACCCCTCACATATGCCCACAAGGCAGAGAGGCAAATGCTTGACGTATGTGGTGAGGAGACAAGGTAGGAATGATACTCCCCCTTCCCCTTTGGCTATATTTGTGTAAAATCTGATCTGGTAGACATGTTATGAGAGTTCTGTTGGACTCAGTCCTATAAGCAAGCCGAACAGATAATCTAATCTTGCATCCAAGTGCCAAGCTGTTCAGAGATGTCAAAACTTGGACAGAGCACCCAGCTGCAGAGAAATGCAGCTGTCTGGGGAATTTACATGACTTGAATGTTTGAAGGCAGCTAAACAAATACTGTGACATCCCACCTGATAAATTCAGAAGGCAAACTCAGTCAGTGGATATGGCCTATATATCCTTGGGTTCTATTCCTTGAAACACATATAATGACGCAAAGCTTAGAGAGCTGGAGGATGAATGGAAAGCTTACTTACATTCATAAACTTCTCATACTGAATAGCTGATTCCATGGTATTATTTGAATAATCCAGTGTATCCTTCCAAGAGTGCATGAGAAAAGCCAATCGTAACTGTCGTGCTATTAGGAGTTTCAAAATAAACAAGGAAAATAATCATAAGCTAAAGCATTCTTATGGCCTCCAATACTGCAATGGCTAGGAACATAATTTCTAACATCCTTACTACCAATAAATCTACCAAAATAAGCAAGAACACTATTATCCATACAGATAATACCAGCAAGGAACAGAATAACACGGAAGCTGTTCTAAAATTAGTGAAGACAGACACCTGAAGTTAGCCATTTTAGGAAACTCCACTGTGTGCCTGAATAACAAAATTAACAGTCACCCCTTGAAGTACATCAAAAGCATTCAAATACGAAAGTAATTTTCACCTGTATGTTTCTTCAGTGCATCTTTTATGGTAATGAAATTCTTCAAAGATTTGGACATTTTACAGCCAGCAATTGTTAAGTGGCCAGTATGCAGAAAATACCGAACCCAGTGATCGTTTTCAAAGTATGCCTGCAGCAGAAACAAAAAACCCCAAAGACCCAACACTGTTTACATACATACCATGAAGTAGGATAATTTAAGAATAAAATCCTGAGAACAAAAACCTATGCTTATACAAAACACACAAAGTTTTAAAAATTAATCGATGGATTTGTGTAAATTGCAGTCAAAGCAAAGCATGTCAATTTTTCACTGCAGAAACTGAAGACCGGTTTGTTCACCTCAGACTGCGCCAGTTCATTGTCATGGTGGGGAAATCGGAGATCAAACCCTCCTCCATGAATATCCATCGACTCTCCTAGAATGGATCCAGCCATTGCAGAACATTCAATGTGCCAACCTGGACGTCCCTGTTAAGCAAAAGACATTACCTGACTACTAGTTAATTGTCTTCCTCTCCTGCCTATGCACCATCCCCTCACTGGTCTGCTCCTAAGCAGTTACGCACCTGAGAAAATGTGATACAGTTTTACCAAGAAAACAGTCTCAGTTTCATAAAAGTATACTGTTAGATTTAAAGATCAAACAGGGCATATACATCTGTGATGTTTTGATTATCCTGCTTATTATCATTTTTTAAAATCCATTAATATTTTTGATCACAAGGAAAATAAAGGATATAGAAATTACTGCAGATAAAACCTGTAGATAAGAGGACAAATGACTGGCCATCATGAGCCTGCATTCAGACTTCTGTTTCAGAAGTATCAGACAGATAGATTGATACACATTCTAAATTATTAAATGAACACAGCAACAGAATTTATGATTGAATACAAGATCCCCATAATCTGTATATGATTAATATGAGGTGAGGCAAAATATTTGTGTAACAAGCTATTTATAATAAGGTGTAGAAGATATAAATCCTGATTATAATGTCCTTACCTTTCCCCATGGAGAGTCCCATGAGGGCTCTCCTGGCTTGGAGGATTTCCACAAAGCAAAATCATTTGGAGAATGCTTCTCACTTAAGCGATCAGCTGAGATGCTCAGGTCACCTTTCAAAAGAGAAAATGTAAATATATAAATTTTATTTAAACCTCAGCATTATTGATTTTTGGCCTCACTGTCCCTCACATCAAGTGAATTTAAAAAAACCCAAACAAATGAACAAGAAAAGAAAAACACTCGGCCCTCAAAATTCCTCATAATTAACCTTGCTAATCCTTCGGGTTTTTGATTAATGTTTGGTTGACAGGAAATATGACAAGTATCAGCTGCACTGCTTTCTAGTTTTGACATGAGATTCATCTACATTCTCTCTGCAAGCATAATTCCAAAATTGCAGTTACAGAAAAAGAAATAGAGAAACAAAAAACCCTATACTCATAGACAAGTAAGAATGCAGAATCAATTCACTCCAAAATTAGAAAGATCCAAATTAAGACTAGGAGTGTCTTAATCTGCACACATAAAATGATCATCAGACATTTCTTCCACGCCTAATCTCAGCTGCTGCACAGAATGGCTGGTGGTTGTTCAATAGCTATGTTTACTGTTTTGTTACCATCACAGATGTGTTATGCATCGTCTGCTGTTAGCTTCTTATGATCATTTAGGTGGTACTCTCATTATAACATCTTTAAAACACAGGGAATTTACTATTTCTGCAGTACTATTCAAGGTTAAAAATGGTTAACAATACCACCTACTGCATCAGAATCCAAGACAGATTGAAGACAAAACTGTCAAGGTTAAACTTGTCAATTAATTTTGATGTACATGTTGAGATACCTGCAATATCAATTGTTTAGAATATCTAACATTATGCACTTTAAATATAAAAGTATTATGCTTTTATTTACATTAATTGCAACTTGCAAAGCTTAGTATTTCTGCTGCCTGTCACAGTCTAAATTACATTATCTGTCAGGGTAAGGACAATCATCACAAATGAGTCAAAGCAGTGAAGCTGACAAGCAATAACATGATGTGTACATATTCTTGTTTAGTTAAATTAATCACTCAGCATTGGTTCCTATTTGCAAAGGGACACAACAATTCAACAAATGACTGGTTACATGGTGGAAATGATACAGTCATGTTACCACCAATACAATGGTTTAAGATAGCGCCTTTTATTTCACATAGAAGATTTCAGCTATAATGGTTTGAAATAAGAAGAAAACAAGACATAGCTATTTGTGCTGGATTTGTGTGTGTGTAGGGGGGTTCTGGTAGCAGTGAGGGGGCTACAGTGGTGGCCCCTGTGAGAAGCTTCTCGAAGCTCCCCTGGCTCCAGGTCAGACCTGCCTCTGGGCACAGCCAAGCCAATCAGTGATGGTGGCTGCATCTCTGTGATAACATATTTAAGAAGGGGAACCTGGGAGGAGGAGTTGGAGTTGTGAGGAGAACATCTGCGCCAACCCCAAGGTCAGCAGAAGAATGGAGGAAAAGGGAGAGTGTGTGGGGGGGTTGCACTGGTGCAGAGAGCCGCCCTGTATCCCATGATGAGATGGCAGGGCCACCCCCCTGCCACCTATGGAGGTCCACAGTGGAGCAGAGGCCAACCTGAGGACTGTGGAGGAGCCCACACCAGAGGTGACTGTGCTTGAAGAAGGCCAAGACTCTGTGGAAAGAAGCAGCCCCCACCATTGTAGTTCAGTGCTGGGAGGATTGCAACATATAGGGGGCAACCATGCTAGAGCATGTCGGGAAGAATGTATCCTGTGCGAAGGACTCATGCCAGAGAAAGTTTGTGGAAGACCATCTCCTGTGAGAGGGACACCATTCTAGAACAGGGGAGAATGCAGGGACCTCTCCCCTGAGGAGGAAGGAGCAGCAGGACTGACTGTAGACCCCACCCCATGCCCTCTGCGCCCTTAGGGGGGAGGTGGTAGAGAAATCCAGAGCAGAGCTGAGGCCAGGAAGAAGGGGGGTGGGGGGAAAGGTGTTTTTAAGATGTGGTAATGCTTCTCACTGTTCTCATCCTGATTCCTGACCCTTCTGCTTTATTTTCTCCTTCCCATTCCTGAGGGGGAAAGGGTGAGTGAGCAGCTGCATGGTGCTCAGTTGCCCTCTGGGCTCAAACCAGGACACCATTTTAATCTGCTTCTTTCAGATATTGCTAGTTTAACCTAGTACGAGTGCTCTAATTTCACCTACTACGAGTGTTATATGAAAACCTTTTAATATTCTTCTGATAGAATTTGTGAACGATTTGCTACTAAATCTGTACAACATTAGAAGCAGATAAGAAGTGAATCTGGTTTATTGAGCATTTTAAGCTGCTCGTCTGCTATGACTTGACTCAAAATAAAGAAATCTGTATTTAGATTTAGTTCAACACAACAAGGTTTACAAAGTAAAAAGAGGAACCCAAATATTTGTCATGAAATAACCACAGCCTGATGTGGAAAGCTTTCACCTGGCATGTGGAAGACCCAGCTTGAAGTCTTTGCTCCTCCTACTTTGAAGCAGATGAAGAGCCAAATAACTGCCTATAATCAAATGACTGAGCTATTCACAATTCTGACCAAAAAAACCCCAAACAAACAAATACGAAAAAAACAACCCAAAACCTTCCTAGAATGAATAATGTTTCTTGGTATTTTCCAGCTAAAAACTTCCAGAAAAGTGCTGGCTCAAGCTACAAAACTTTGGAAAAGAAATCTATTGGTAAAGGAAGTACAACAGGTAAACCATTCAACTCCGATTCAAACATCAGTGAAATCAATTGAAGTGATCAATACATCATCAGTTTCTTCAGCAGCTTAAGCAAATGTTATTTCCCCGTTTTACCTTCACCCTCTTGAAGAGCTTTTTGATCACCCACAGCTTCAGGAACCAACTTAGCATAGGAGTGTGTTTCACTGGAATCAAACTTCACAGTATCAAAGTATACAGATCCATTGGAGACATACCTGAAAAGTTAAGGATCATTGTCTAGGTAACTTTCTACCAAGATTTAACTGAATTTTATTCCAAAAAAATCACTGTCTTAAACTTAAGTTCTTTAGTGAAACCACATACAGTATGGTACTGCTCAGTATCGTACAGATGACTTAGGTGAGCCTAAGTTTTAAGGCCTTACTATAAAGATATCCAACAAATTCTTTAAAGCCATAATAAAATTGATCAAAGGGAAAACAACTAACATCTTTTCATATTAGACAATGCAGAAAACCAGTTCACGATTACGTTTTTATAACTTCTGTTATTTACAACTGATTTCTAGCCATCTACTCGGGCAACCATTTTTTAAACCCCTTGCTGAAGGCCAGAAGTCAAACAAAGTTCAAGTGAATGGGACTTTGACTATTCTAACGAATGAGGATTTCACCCTATAAATTTAATAATCTAACTTCTCTCTTTGTAAGACATCCTAAGTATAGAATAGTACATTTTTATCAGGTGAGAAATTAGAGGTCTTTTGTGAAGGAACCTTAAGTTTCTCTATTTGATGAAACACTACTTCTGGAAAAGACTACTATTGCATAAGAAAAGAGAAAAAACAGTTCACAGTGAAGTGTTGAAAGCAACCATTCTAGCTCTGATACAGTATAAGCATACAACAAAAGCATCCAGTAGCAAACTTACCCATAACCATTATCCACAATTTTTTTCACAAAATCCACAATTTCTGGCACATATTCACTAACCCGTGTTAAAACATCTGGAGGTAAAACCTACAGATAAAAAGTAGATTTTTGTATTTTTAATATATATATGAATATTTATAAATATGCAGATATGCATTTAAATATATATATATATTAAACATTGGTTTAAAATTGGCTCAAAAGCAAGTGGCAGTAGAATCTAAGACTCCTATTTCAAGCCTTCAGCTCTGAAACGATGTGCTGTGACCATTTTTTCCTCTAGCCTTTAAGGTGATGTTAACAACAAACTACTGCGGGACATGTCAGCTCTTCCACTTACTGAACTTCTAACAAAACATGCAATAAATCCCTCTTATTTTCAGGTAAATTAATAAGCCTTCACTGATCTGAACCACTGCATATGACGACATTTCTTCTATGACAAATCTGTCCTTGATTGTTATTATCACACAATTTCTTAGTGGATGAAGGCTGATAAGTAGTCAATTTAAATGCTGAGGTTGGCAGGGCTCTCTTGTGCAGCTAACAGACTATCTCAAACTTCTGTATCAGTTTATGATTATAATCCCATGTTACACCAAGGGGCAGGGACAGAGTGCACACGTCAAACAGTCAACTGACTGGTAACATGCACAGTGCATTGCTGGGATGGAAACAGAACAGGTGCTAATTTAACTGCTACCTATTCACCTTAAAATACTTTATCAATAAGGTTGAAATATGAGGTTTCTGAAAGCTGTTAAGGACCTACTTGTATTCTGGGCATTATGAGGCATGAAACATACACTTTTAGAACAGAAAACAGTTTGCTTACTTACATTGAGTGCTTCCATATCTTTATGAAATTCCCCTTCCCAGAATTTGGGGAGCTTTGAGAATATGGAATTGTCAGTCACCTGACTGCCAAATTTTGTGTCCAACCAGTCAGACAGCAAATCTTTGGCTTCTTCCAACAGCATCTATAGAACAAGAATTGTAAGTGCAACTGATCAAAGATTTACCCTGCTTAAACTCTGCAGAAAGATCTTATTCTGAGCACAGAGGTTTGCTTAAGGAAAAAGGCACCTGGCTATGAATACAGAGTAATCCCTGCTCCTACCAGATTTTGATCATATGGCCCTTCGTAAATATGGATGAAACAAACAGAGGAAGGAAGATGAACTGATAAAGGGTATCTATTTTGCTATCAATCACTTAAATAGGCATGTGGAATTCACGCTATAAACACTGCATGGGACCTGCAGTTATATCACATCATTTGTTCCCCACATTTCTACTGGATAATCCTAACAGAAGCCTTACTATGCACATTTCTAAAAAGTGATTGAAAGACTAATTTCAACATCAGCAAGGATACATTTCAGTCTTAAATTAAAAGAATTTTCTTTTTACAATAGTATACAGCCCAGAAGGTGTGATTGTTTTGATTTTGGTTGTTTTTAAAATTCTACTAGGTCAGTATACACTGTTATAAAGTCACTTGATACTAGACTAGCTAGACTTTGTTAAAAAAGATACTTTAGAGAGAGAGCCTTCTCAAGAAGGGAGCATATACCCTAAAGTAATTATCACAACCTGAAAGAAAGAGAAGAGGAAAGTGGAAACCGATTACTAAAACACAGTAGTTATATTATCTGACTAGGTTACTGGGACACTACCAAAGCCCAGTAAAGTCAACAGGATTATTGTCACTAAATGTAATGGTCTTTGGATAAAAATTATCCTGAGCATAATTTTGGGGATGCATTTTCTTCTCTGATCAGACAGAGACACTTACGTAGAAAACTGCCACCAGTATTGGAACGTCATAAATGCATGTTCAGTAATTTATACTGAAACTAATGCATTAAGACAAAAAAGTCAAAGTCTAAATACATGCAAGAGAAAAATCCCCTTTGGAATGGTAAAAATAACTAAGTAATTATCACAGTGGGAGGGAAAAAAAAATAGTCACTGATAAAAACAGCATCCAAAAACTGCATAGTTGAGTTCAAATATCAAATTTCCTGTATTGAATGCAAAGTACTAAGAAGTCTTCAGGCCCACCATTCCTCTTTTTATGAAAAAAGACTTCCGTAGTATTTCAGGGAATTACTACAAGCTAAATACTATTTTTTAAACCTCTAACAATTATAAGCCAAATAAAATTTAAAAAGAAGCTCAAACTGACCTCATGACATCTGTTGATCTCTTCTGCAGGGAGTTTTGCTTGCACAGCTTCTTGTAGAGGATCAAAAGCAGAATTCACTGCACTTAGAATTCTTTCCAACATTTGCCTTTTATCTGGGTCTGTTGTCTCATTTAATTTAACTGAAAAGAGCTGCAACGAAAAAAAAAATATAGATTGCAACTTGCAGTACAGTAGTGCTATGCTCCATACACAATTTATTACTTTAGCCACATAGTATCTTACTAGTGATGAATAATACATTAATGTCACATAAAAAGCTTTGATGTCAAATTACTGAAACATATTCTTCATCAGACATAGAGGTGAAGTCAAAAGAATTTAGTTCACATGCAGATTCAGTTTTTCAGAAAGACTTTATAAATTACAATATCATCATTACTGTTGTCTAGTAATTTTCATTTTCTATGCAGTTGATCACCACAAATCTGAAAAGGAGACGCTTTAATGCAAAACAGAGAGAGATTCAATGCTATGCTCACAGAGTATGTTGGGCAATGGCAGGTGGGCAGAATTTTCAGGCCTCCTATTCCCAGGCCTGTATTGAATGAATTAGACTGATAATCTCTTTGTGATCTGTAGTTCTAAATAACTAGAGAATCACCTTCCCCCACTTTCATCCCAGCATACACAATTTATTAAATCCCTATAGCTTTGGAGGCTTTTTGCTCTTTCCAAGGCCATCAGTGGTGCAAAAGAGAAATCTCACAAGCTTTAAAAGATTATGGACATGCCACTGTTTAAAAAACATTTTAAAGGGTTATTTTTAAAGTCTGAATTCTAACACACAAACACCCAAATGCTTTTTGAGATTTTTCCCCAATACCCCAACAACAATATACACACACTCACAAAAAAGTTCTATGGACATAAAAATCAAGCGTGCCTTTTACATGGATAGTTCTTGTCAATTCTAAAACAATGGAAGAATCAAAGTGATATGCAGTTCCAATAACATTTCTAATATTTGTGGTACTAGTTCAACAGAATAACTGAAACAAGCAGAAAGTTTAAGGTGGTAGCAAAGTCAGAGGCATTTTTTAGGTGTTTTGCTACATTATTGAGTAAGAACCTAAGACACTAGCAGGAATTAAATACCACACCCACCTCTGAGGCAGTTTTAACATCTTTAAGTAGCTGATCTGGTGCCAATTTGTTCTCCCTATACCGTTCAAAGAGGTAATTTTGTCTTGCCCTCTTGATGATCTACAAAGCATAAACATTAAAATATATTTCCAAAACGACACATAGTTATACGAAGTGCAAATATAATCTGTCACATACCAAAGGCATTTCAGAATCCCCATAAATTTAACAAGCGACAAGAATTACATGCAGTAATACAAATTAAACACACCATATATAGTTAATCAGCTACCTCAACAGAGTTAATTAGGTCTCTCAGCAACAGGCAAAATAAGTTGCCTTTGTAAAATGCTTAGTCTTCATCATTTACGACAACATTCATTTATATACAACACAGGCTTTGCTACCATAGGAATGCTACAAAACTGACAAAAATCAATGTGTGCAAAATGTATGTCTACGTTAATAAGTGTAAGATTTATCTTGGCTTATCAAATGGCAATTACATATGACTCTCTGACTTCCCTGCTCAAAGTACAGTATTTTAGATAGCAACTTAAAAAGACTTTACCTTATCATCAATATCTGTAATATTCATACAATAGAAAATGTCGTATTTAAAATAATCCCTCAAGATTCTTCTCAGGATATCAAATGAGATGTACGACCTAAAACCAGAATAGATACAGGTGTGTTTTCAGTGAACATTGCAAGTCTATTTCTATTCTATGCACAAACTACTTTAATCTCAGAGTCAATAATTTTACAACAGTGTTAATTTTTCATCATCTACTAGTAAGTTTTTAATCACACTATGACATATCATAACAAGCTTTTCAGCTCAAATCTCAAGTGTTGAGTCTAACAAGACTATTTTCTAGCAATACACTCATCTAAATAAAGTATCTTTTTCTATTACACTTTTGCTTCCAATATGCACTGGTTTTGCCTATATCAAAATAAGGAACTGCAGTACCTGGCATGTCCCATGTGAGAAGCATCATAAACCGTTGGACCACAGCAATACCACAAGACCTTTTTTCCATTCTGAGGCTGAAATATTTCCTTAATTGAAAGAGAAGGTATAGTGATCAGAAGAAACTGAAGACAGGATCTCAGACCAGTAACACCACATTTAGAGATCAGAACATGAAAACATGGATTATAATTACAAAAAAAGGAATAGCTATTCCACTCCCAGTTTTACCATAAGAAAAGATCACCACTAGCTTTATTGTGTAAAAGAGAGAGTAAGGTGTGGCTGTTTATGTTATCTCTACTCTTATCAATCAAGACATCAGATTACAAAGATTTGGACTAGGAAAGGCATTATTCAAACTGCGATTGTAAAAGGGAAGATCAGACTTTCTTTTCCATTGAAAAAGGTTACAGAGTAATCATTTCACACATACTTGGATACTACATCCCATATACCATTGCTATTCCTAGTATTTCCTCTCTTTCCCAGAGAACTTTAAAACAAGACGACAAGAAGTTTTACCAGTTTATGTTACAATACTATAATTGGCGAGACTTTTTTTACACAAACATCTAAAGAAAGAAACTGTGATTTCATTCTGTTCATATTGCCTATATTTACGTGTATTACAGTTGAACCCCTCGCTATTTTGCATGATGATAACTTGCAACTGGGAATTACATATTATGCAATATACATGTACACTTGTTGCATATGTATATTTATTGTGTATATTGTAACACTTGCCCAGCAAACACACTTGACTGACACAGCATCTCTGGCACATGCTTGTTAACATTCCACAAAATACAACCCAGAAACCTGTCTACTGATAGGGTAAACACTTAAGGAACATTTGATGACTTCTCTCTATTTGTGTTTCTATGGAAATCTCCACTTTTCTTTCATTTGGTCACCTTATTTCGAGTCAGGCTGTTGTAGAGGCAGAGCCTAGAATGTTTTGTCCCTTCAGGAGGAGACCAGGGGGGCTGCACACGCTTGCCTTTACCTAGGGGGAAAAACAGTTTAAAGAGAACTGAAAAGATACTTTCCACAAACAGATCTGCAATATAACATTTTCCCCTTATCACATCACAAAGTTATTTAAAGAGAAAAAAAAACACATACAACTAGACAGATCAGTTCCAGTCCTAATAATACAACTACTTTTGTTAGAGCTTCCTACAAAGCCACTAAAACCAAAGTAAATTATTTCAATCTAGTTTATTTTCCGTGCTCTAAGATCCAAGAAACAGGAAGGGAGAGGGTATAAAAGTAAGAGCATGCAATTCAGTTAAGGCATTAAAAAGAGCTTTGAAATGTAATGAATGATTAATAAAGTGTAATGACAGTCCTGGGCTTTCTGCAACGCCACTGATTTTACTGCGACAGCATATCACAGATCTCACACAGAATTTGCAAAAAATCTCCAGAGACCAGAGTTAGTCTTTAGAGCCAATATTGACAGAGTATGTGTACTCAGGGCGAGAGGGAGGGGAGACGGGAAGGTTTAGAAAGAACCTCAGCTTTTTATCATACACTGTTGCTATGTACATAAGGCATTTCTGAACACACTCATTTATCAAAAATATGCTCCAATTCAGCAAGAGACTAAATTTTGCCATTAAAGAGAGTAGATAAAACCTAAGGTAATACTAGTGACAATATTCTTGCATTTGTTCTCTTGTGAATTTTTAAGAAACAACATAGTTGTTAAACTCATGTTTTTTTCTAACAAAAGTATGAATATGTCATCTGTCAAAGAGTTGCAGTTTGCTATGCACAGGACTGTTTACAGCTGTAATGACGTTAAACTAATTATCACATTAACCAGGAATGAAAGCAAACCAGGAAATTCAAAAATACAGCAAGGTTGGCAGCTTAATACACACAGCACTGTCTTTAGGAATTTTCATGGTATGTTTTTAACTGCAATTAAAATATTATACAAACTATTCATGTAGTTTGCAAACAAAATTGCCTTTCTGATCCTGTGTCTCAGGGCACTCTTCATTAACTCTGCTATCCCAAATATTTTCATACGAATATTTTGGCTGAAAACCTTCGAGTAATGTAAACATTTATGGTATAAAAAATTTTATCTCTTCCTCACCTTCCTTTTGTGAATAACTGCCTAAATAAGAAAAAAAAAAGATATTAACTGTAATACTCTGTCTCACAAATGGACTCTATTTAATCTCCATGTTGTAGATCCACAGAAATATGTGTTTATTCTAAACATTTCATTGTATCAGGTACTCCTCAACAGAATACCTCAAGTTCAAGAGCAGTCTATCCATAACACAGACCATATACCAAGGTATGGATTTGTTTACTCTTTGATTTACAAAGATTACGCTGTCATGCTTAACTGTGGCTAAAGTTTCCCTCGGGGAAAGAAGCCTGTGTGGGTTAGTCTAATAAAAGATAAATCTGTAAAGCTTTCTTTACTTACAACCACACTAAACATAAGAAAAACCCCAGATACTACACCCTAAAGTTCTCAGCTTGCAAGTTAGGTGTCATGTTATGTCCAGTACATGGACACCAAGGGCAAAGTGAAAGGCATGCTGCTTTGTTCAAATACATCTCTGCCAGCTATAGTCTTCCCCCTGGCTGAACTGAAGTTCATTTGCTCTAATCCACCCCTGAAGCTCTCTGATACCCAAAAACCCCCAATCCAAGGTCTAAGAAGTGTGGCGGATTCACGTGTCATTTTCATAGTGAACACTGCAGGACACCATTTCAGGACTTGTGATACATATGCACAGATCATGAAGATAACAAGACATAACCCTTAAGAAAGAGAGACTTAATATTAAAGATTTCATGGACAGGAAAACAGAAACTTTTTCCCTTATTGCTCCACCCTGATCCATGAAAGTCTGCAGACAAATTGCAGTTGGTGGCATTAAATCTGCTATCAGAGCCCTTGGTACTGCTGAGATCCCTTCACAGCTGAAAGGAAACCAATAACCAGCACAAACTCATGCAGGCACACACACCTATCCAGAATCTACTCACAGCAGTCTGACTTCAACTGCCAGTCTGCTAGGAATTGAGAACACATATGATGAGAGGTTGGGAGAAGGTGGCATCAGAGTAATATTAGTCTACAACCGTCAGCAGAAATGACAGACATTATGCATTCATTTTTAGGTATTGCAAGCACAATACAACAGCTCTGTGTTATTATTATTAATTATTTCATGACTCCCTGAGCAAGGATCTCACTATAAAGCAATTAAATTAGACAACCTCATTGGAAAAAAACTCAGGAGAGTGATGCAGCTCCCAAAAATGCCAGCACCCATGCTTACACAATGACCTAGATTAACCGGTTAGTATTTCCTCAAATCATCAGCAATGCCTACATCACCAGGGTTAAAAAGAACCCCAAACATTCTGCTTGAAATTCAATGTTAATAACAATTGTAAGAGGCAGTATTCAGTTTACTGTATTAAGAATTTGTATGTTATACAACTATTTATTTACCTATGCAGGGAAAAAAAAAGTGGACAGAGCAAAACCTGATATTTCAGGGAACAAGCCAAAACCCATATATTCTTTTACAATCCAGTGGCTAACTTTTTAAAGAAAATACACATAATCAAAATCTGTACACTGAGGAATTTTTAAAATGAAAGAAATGTGGAAACAGAGCTTTAACATTCAAATAGATCAGGATGCATCAATTACGCAGTAGGCAAGGAGAATTTCAAGACCTTGAATACAAGCTGATACAGTAAATTTTAAAGCGTGCAAGAGAGTATGAAAGGGAACTTCCAGGAATTCTCTGCAATAAAAACCAATACAATGTCAGCTAGTCTATAACCTGCCCAGAAGTTTCATATTACTCACTTGTTTGAAGTTTACAAGGCTCATTTTTGTCACTGCTGCCATCATAGATTGCTTCTATGTGTCTGTACCACCGGACAACATGGATATACTGGTCCACAGGTGGCCCCGAAAACTTTCTGAATACCTCCACATCTGCATGTGAAAATGTGAACCCCTGGATATAACTACGAGTGCTCAGGTACTCGTTCAAAGCCTTCACCCTGGCTTCCTCTTCACTAATGCTCAGAATAAAACTGTAGCTGGAAGCTGTAAAGAGAGGCACAGGACATTTGGTCAGCATTAAAGAAGAAGGAGATCCCATGACCAAAATATTTCCTTATACTATATGTCTCCCCCTCTAAGAGAGCTCTGGCAACTGACAAGAAATTTGAGAAAAAATATTAATAAAAGCTACTGAATAGCCATACATTTCATATTATTAGGATTATGTCCATGCTGTGATAAGTTTTTTTGGAGACATCTTTACAAAGAGTAATAAGGACAAAAGCACAAGTCCTTCTCACGAAGAAATATTACCTACTTGAAATTGGAGAAAATTCTTTACAGACAGCAAACCTAATCACTCTTTTCTGTGCTGCTAAAACACTCATCCTGCAAATATTTACATTTGATTAATTTTATACACTGTGGATAGGCTGTGAATACGTCTACTGAAGTTGAACATATCCTTAAATCTTTGCAGGACTGGGGCCCACATGCAAGCTCCCAGCATGATGCTCAGTTACTCCTACTTGCTCTAACGACTCAAAACTTAAGCTGTTCCTGTATATTCCCATACTTTTCCTATAACACTTTGTCTCCTCAGACATATGAGTAAAATTGAAAATGAGTAAGATCGACACAAATGAACAGAAAGGATATTAGATCATGCTCCTCCCTCACAATTTTTTATTTCCATGATTTATTTGGTATACAGACAAAGCATCTTTACAAACACAGAGACGTGGAGGAAGCAGAGGAAGGGGTCTGTGTCTTGGTAGGGAATGCTCACAGTAATGGCAAGCCCTGTGCAAGTCAGTGACTATGAAGCACTGTGGAGATTATGGCATCTGGGCTAGCGCTGACGTTGGGTAAGCCTAGCATGCATATTTTCCTACAACAATTCAATGTTTGTAACTCCCTTCATGTTCAAAGTACTGTATAAACATTAAGCTGATACCCTGCTTAGGTAGCCAGCCAAGAAGGTAATTTAAGATGTAGTCAAGGTCATAGAGCAGTAAAGTGAGCGAGGCAGCATGAGAACGCCTGTTCCCGCTCCCAAACCCCAACAGAGACCACTGCCACAAGTGTGGCTTCTTACACTTAGTATGCACATCTTCTGCACAGGTAGCTCCCAAAGTATCGCAGGTGCTCACAGACCAACACTCTTGGAAAGGGAAGGATGAAAGGAGATGGGGAAGGGATGGCTAGGAAAGGATGTGAGGAACTGCAGAATTGAAAAGTTTTTCCAAATATCATCAGTTAAGACTTTGTGAGCAGCTCATTTCCTAAATGCAAATCAATTATTAAAATATTCTACAGGAACTCAGGATGACAGGGAAATGGCAGCCAGATACCAAGTATATTTGTGTTTTGATTCTTTTGAATATAAATGAGATACAGTGACACACCAGCAGAACTAATAAAAGAGATCAGTGATTAAAATATAACCATTTAAAAAAAAAAAAGTCACAAAATATATTTAAAATTCATACACAAAAGTAAAGTCAGATTCATGTAGTCTCAATCCTTCTTAGGGGCTATCCATGTAATTGTTCATTACAAATAAGGAATAACAAGTAAACAATGGTTCACAACTAGAATTTACGGGCTTGCCTTACCCAGCTGAACAGGAATCAGCTTCAGCTCACGTAGTTAATCTTACTATAAACTTTTCAGGCTCCTAAATATTTACTGATGTTTACAATCATAGAACTTCACATGTTTATACACAGGAAATAGTTTAAAATAGTTATGTTCATTAATCTATGTAAACCTAAGACATAAGTCTTCCTCGAATGTGAATTCTGTATCCATTAATCATATGAGAGCAAAGGTCAAAGAAAAGTATTACAAGAATGATCTGTGTAGAAATGAAACTGTATCTCAAAGAAAAGATCTTTAAAGATCTACTGGAAGGAAAGCAACACTCAATTTGCAAAGTATTATTAGGGTTATTACGACCATTATTCACACACCAGGCTGCTAATGGGAAGCAAGTCAGTGTATCTGAAACAATATAAGTGCTTTCCAACCACATCGGTAAACCAATCTAAAAGGGAAGTTACACAAACTTACTCACAAATACAACAAAGATGACAGAACTCCTGCAAGTAAGAAGAGATGGCAAATACTGCCTGTGAATGTCAGTACCGGCTCAGCCCTGATAGGCAGAGCAAGCAAAATTACTTTGAACAATCTTGGCAGGCACATTAATACTTGAAATTATAAAGTTTGACGTTATGTCTAGTTGCAAGAGCAACAGCAGACTTGAAAGTTTAATACATCAAAGAAACCAGTTAGCCCAGGAGACCTAACAGGAATATGTCTTTATGTCGAGACTGATCACTGACTCAAACTCAGCCCAAACTCACGTCCGTGACTGCGCACCCCAGCAAGTGCAACACAGCATGAACACCCCTGAGCAGCGGCTGACAGGGTTTCGCTGGGCGCAGCAGCAGCTGAGCCACAGCAGTCTCCAGCTTTCAGCAGGCTCACTGTACCAGTACAAGTTTCCCACATTGCTTTCACAGGCTGTGCTGGGCTCCAAACTTCCTTTTCTAGACTGATGGCTACTTTTCAAACCGTGACAGCTACCTTAAAGCTAGCACAGATGTGTTCTACTCTCTGCTGCAGTCAGATGAAAAGATACACACAAATCTGCTGTGTTAGAGAGTGCCAAGTGATCAGTGCCATTCTGCAATCCCTCTGAGCATCCTATTTCAGTACACACAGGACAAAACTTTTCTCACTTCTGGCATTCTTGTGAGTAGCTCCAAACCGGACAGAACAAACAAAACAAAAGCTCTTCTCCTGAAGCACAGGGTCCTCTCCTGGGAAGAAAGAATGAATATAACACTGTCTTTTGGAAGGCAGCATACCAGAGGACCATTTCTTTTCAAGCAAAAGAAATCAGTCAAAACTATCTTTACATAAAAGTCTGTTCCGATTTGATTTATAGCACTACTAAAAACAATAGTAGTACATCTACAGAATCTTGTTTTTCTTCACCCCCAGTTCCCCCCCTCCGTGTCTCACAATGCCTTTAGTTCATCACACAATCCCACTGAAATACTTCCTGGTACCTCGTAAGTGCTTCATACCCTCTGCCCATATGCTTCAGTATACCCATCCTGTACAGCTCCAACCCAGCTTTGCTCTGCCTGCCAACCGTGTCCATGAGGCAGCCCACCGTCAAATGTAATTAATGCCAATCAATAGATGCAAAAAGTATTGAGGGAGAAGGGCCAACGGACATATGTAGATCTGACTTGTTTTACCCGTTGCTTTAGGAAACCAGGCTAAGAAATAGCCCTTCCCTATGACTTCAATTTTTTTCCTCTCCCAAAACAGAAAAATTAGTTGCTACTACTCAGTGGCATTAGGAAGTGCCTTCCTGACAACAGAAACACAGGAGTGTTACAGAGCTGTTGCACAACACTGAATGTTAACTCATGTGAATGGAATGATCCATAGACATCAAATCATATCACTCGAGAGCAACTCGTTCATAAATCAAGCACTGAGCATGAGTACTGGAGAGGTAGCAAAATAACTGTGAAAAATCATAAGAATTAATGTTAATAATGTAGCATTCTTCCCCCCCCCCCCGCCCCGCACTGAAAATTTGTTTCAAAAAAATTCCACTGTAGACATCAATTAATACACTTCTCATAGTAACATTGCTGGCGTATAATCTCTTTGGGCGATATAATTGTCACACATTGTTCTTTCCATGCACGGAGAGCTTCGGATACTACTAAAGGACACTGGGAATTTGTCTGCAAGACTGCAGCACCACACAGACTCAAAGGCATAAGATCGCGCCTACATTCTATTTGCACATAAAATGCCTTTTGAAGTTTAATCAAAATGTGTAACCTACACTACCAAATTTGATGGAAATTTTTCACTTCTATTAACTTGAAAACAAAAACCTCTGTTCCTTGAAGGTGTTGACAGCAAAGTAAATATAGAAAAGCCATAAAGTAGGCAGTAATCTAGGTGACACAAAAACAGGGAGTTACTTTGCTTCAGGGAAAAATTGGGTTTCCTGGGCTTCCCTGAACCTGCTAACCTTGTCAGTCATAATTAGATGACAACTGAAATGTTCTGGGATTTCTGCAGAAGTATTCTCTGACAAGAAATCTTAGACATTTCTGAATATTTTAAAATGCCATTTCTCTTCTAGCTTGGCTTTCACAAATTTAAAACAATTCATAAAAGATAAGTGTAACATGTCTCATTATTAACACAGCTCCAAACTAGCCATTTATCACCCCAGCTAGCCACTCTGGTAGCTTTGGAAGGAAGTCCAACTACCTGCTCAGCCAAGACAAATTATCCTTTTCCATAAAAATTTCAGGAGAACTGAACTGATGCAGCTATCCCATCTATGCAAGACACAGCATACACAGAGAGTATTTTTTGAGACTCGCACATGAGGATCAGAAGGCTTTTAACAGAGCAGGAATTTTTAAGAACGGAGTATCCCAAGGAAGAGCTTGTCAGTTCTACTCACTTTAGCCATTCTAGTCACATTAGTTAAGTTCCACTTCCACTTTTCCTGAACTGAAACTAAATGTAACAATTACAATTTCAGTAAAAAGCAAATACTATTTGCCCATTAATAAACTTAACTAAAAAGTTTCTTAAAGCACACCTGAACTGAGCCTTTGGTTGGGATTTTCCCCCCCCTTAACTAAGATACTGAAAACACATCTGAAAAAGCCAGTTCTTTGACAACAGTAAATGTTTCTGGACTCCCTTACATAGGAATGTTACTTGTGATGAACAAAGAGCAAAGTAACTTTCAGTAACAAAGAAAAAGGGGTAAAATCTTTGAATCTACAGATCTGTAACTGGAATGACAGAAATTTCCAACCCCTTACATACCATAATGGTATTTCATACTTGTATGACTGGTATGCCAAGTTTCCATTTGCTACGGTAGTGCCAAAAATTAAAGTACTACCCTGGCCCTCCTTCCATATGGAAGAGCATAGTATAACCCATAATTAAAACACGACCACAAAAAAAGTCCGGAAAAGTCAAAAAGTTCAGACATGAGTTCAAGGGAGAACACAGGTAACTAGGAAAGCCAGTAAGGGAGACAGAGGCAGGTGAAAGAAAGCAGATGATGCTGTGATAAGCGCACAACCCACTAAGCCGTCTGGCAGCCACCTAACATCTCTTCGAAGCCATTAAGCTGGGGAACAGCTGTTTCCAAACTTCAGTACTGAGAGGCTCGGAGCTTTGACACAGATCCCCGTGTGTCATCGCTAGCCTTTGCAGCAGTGCCGAGGCACGATGTGGATCGCCTCCCACGGTCTCGCAAAGGCACCGGAGGCCCTCGGATCCACAGGCACCAGCCTGAGAGGTGCAACGGGACCCTATAGATCCGCGCTCCCCAGTGCCCCACGCACGTACAGACCCAGTCACCCGCTGCACTTCCAGCTCCTCGCTCCTGATCCCCCGAAGCGGCACCGGGGGCTGCTTACACGCCAGCCACCGCCGAGGGGCACGGGTGACCTCCCCACGGGGAACCCACCCAACCGTGGGTGCCAGGAGCTGACAGCACCCAGCGCTCCTGCCCCGAGCGTGTTGCGACAGCGGCCGGCGGCGGGGTCCCCCCAGCGCAATCCTGAGGGCGGGTTCGGGGGGGTGGGGGGGGACGACGCCCCAACGCCCCCCCCGCCGCCATTTCCCGCCCCGCCGCCGTGACAGGGCGGCGGTTCCCACCCCCCACCCCCCCTCGCCGCCGCCTGACGTCACGGCGCCTACCCGACACGGTGACAGCGGCGGAGCCGTGACGCCAACCCCCGCCGAGCCGTGACAACCCCGCGGGACCCCCCGCCCCGCCCGACCGAGCCCCCGCGGCGCCGGTCGCCGACCCACCCTGCTCGGCGGTGGCCGCTGCCATCCTGCTGCCTCCTCCCCGCGCTCGCGAGCTGATGCAACAGCGTGCCCGGAAGCGTCGCCCCGCCCCGCCCCGCCCGCCACTACGCTACTTCCGACGGGCGCCCCGCGTCACCACGGCAACGGGGGAGCACCGCCCCTCCCCGCCTTCCCGCCCAGCGCGCGGCCGGTTACCACAGCCCCGCTCCCCTCACGACGCCTCAGGCGAGAAGGTCCAAGAGCCAACGCCGCTGCTTGTGGCTCAGCCGTCCTTTTATTGCTGTGCTCCAAACGTTAACAGTTCCGAGCGTATCAATGCAACACAAAAACAGGGACCGTTTCGGAAATCAAAGCCTTGCAATCCTCCCCAAAACAGCAGCAGCAGCCCCCCTGGTTGCCACCACCCGGGCTCGAGCAGCACGGCCCTGCCTCACACGAAGGGAAGAGCAAGCTGGAGCTCCTCGCTCTCAAGCTGGCATCCAGCGCCCGAGTTTAATATAATACAACTCAAAAGACCTTAGTGAACATCACAACCGGAGTCCGTGTTAACACCGACGGCGTTGAATCACTTCCAGCTCCCCGCATGAAGGTGAGGAGGATATCAAGTCCATGCCATCATTTTTACGAGCAGTTTGTTGACGTCCTCATTTACAGGAAATGTGTAGGCATTTCTGAAGTTCACAGTAAACATTAATCTGTAGCTTCCAGTTTACTTATAATGTTATTACTTTTTAAAGTGTTCAATACATTATCATAAGCCTTGGTATCTAGATACCTTAACTCATCCAGTAACTTAATAATAGATTGTTTCTCTCCCAGTGTGTTTTTCCAGATGAGAAGCATCTGATAAGATTGCTCTTCTATATCATTAGGAAAGTCATAAATAATTTTATCAATATCATTTTCTGGCAGATGAGTTCTCATAAGCCGCTTCCATTTTTTCAGTGGTACTGCATTTATAAAGGCCACAAAGCTATCTCTCAGTTCTGAAAGAAAACACAACACACATCACCTTTAAACTACAGGTTTTTTTCATAGCTAACATACATGCTTTCCCATTAATTTTCAGCCAATACGTGCACAAACCAAACAGCAGCAGCAAGGCCAGGTTTGGCACCGAAGAAGCAGTAGGACGAGTAGGATTCCTACCGAGTGATCTTGAAAGAAGCTACAGGTACCGGTCTACATAACTCAAAAGTAGCCTCTTAAGATGAGACACCATTCAGTAAAGGAGATTCTGAGGACAGCTTCATCAGCCTGCACACCTTCACTTAAGCTTAATAGGTCTACTCAACAGTAGGCTTTAACCTCTATGCTACTAGTATAGGTTTGCCACACCAAGACCAGCATAAGCAAAACTAGTCACTTGGACACCCAGTCCATCAACTTGCTGGGTACAGGTACATGTAATGGGGGGGTTGATGTGGTCTTCCATGTGAGAAGACACTTGTCAGAAAGATCTCCTGCTCTGAACTATACCTCGCTCATTAAGGTTGAGTACACTTCACAGTGCGAACTTGTTTAAAACATACAAAAAAAAAATTTACCATTCTTATTCTTAAAAGCATGACTACATCATATTCCTCCACTGAAAAGCCATGCTATAAAGTAGAACAATTCACCACAGGGATTAAACCTTCTCTCAAATGTAGTAATAATCCTGTTTCAGCATATTTTACAATTAAACTGAAGGCCTTACAGCTCTAAGCAATATTCACTAGCCTCCCTATACTGTTGCTTAAGCAAACCAAAGTCAGCAGGATAAAAAAATAAATTCCAAGTAGTACCAATTTATGGGACTTACCTTTCTGACAGAGATCTTTAACAATTATTTGACACCTTGGTTCTCGTACCTGTAATACAAAGTTGGACCATTACAGCAACATACCAAAGCGTTTGACTCATGATTATTCCTGAGCTGCTTGATAGCTTGCTTCCACAGCACACACACCAATAAAGGGGAGTGGGGCAGATTTCATAGCACAGCTGAAAGTATTTGAGTAAAGAAATTGGCATGCTGAAACAGCTGTGCTATCGGCTCTGAAATGAAGCAACAAGGCAACACATTTGCTGCTATTGCAAAAGAATAGCTTCAGTGTAAATATCGAACAGGGACATGAGAGAGGCAGAGCAGATTAAATGAGGCTGAAGTTTGTTTTCCTAAGTATCACTTCCCACACTTTCTATTACATCTTTAAGGCAATGCCTCCTCTTCTCTCTCATTTGCCTGAAAACAGCATCTATCAATCGAGGAAAAGTTAAGAACTCAACTGAAATTACATGTGTCAGAGAAAATATGATGATAATTTCACACACACACACTTACCATATGATTTGCTGGCACCCCACCACTCGGTATATTGGACGGGTCATTCTGACACAAAGCAGGGTTCTGCCCAGTTTTTACAGGTAGGGAAGACTCAGTGATCTTCCTCCAGCACCTTTCCACGTGGTGCTTCCAACCCCAACGCAGGATGGTGCCCCACTCAGAAAGCACAATACTGTTTTCCTCTGGTGATGTATTTTTTACTTCCAAGTTAATGTTGGCTTGTGCTTGGCCCTCTGGGCTCTCACCAGAGTTCTCACCCTCTGGGTTGGCTGCCTCATTTGCAGATGTCTCTATTTCTGGTAAAATGAGGCTTTTAGTACTGTCCTCAGACTCCTGTAAAGAATAAGAACATATTTTAAGAGGTGTTTCATAGGTAGGCCTTCAAGGGCAGTCTGGAGGAAGAAAATAGAATACTTGAAGTCACCAGATGACAGAGAAGTAATAGGAGACCTACTAATTTGGCAGAGTTACAAACACAGCAAAGAGGCTTTAGAGACTCGAACTTCAAATGGTTTCAGAGCCTAAACTCTCTGCTTTGCTGGCTGTTCTGCTCCCACTGGACTGCAGGGTAGGGCTCACAGGCTACTTCCACAACAAGCACAGGAAACTTTTCCTAATGTTTTCACTGGTATGTATTGCTGCTTGTTCCTCTCTAGGTATGGAAGGTATACAACCCTCCTGAGGCAGGAGGAAATTAAATTGCCTTGCTGCACCTGAGCTGACTTAACAGCAACAGGGGCCTCAAACCTATCACTGTGTGAAGGCTGATGATCTCAGAGCTTTTGCAGAGCTAATTACAACCTATCAGCTCCACCTAAGTGCACTAGTTTGGGCTTTTTTTTGTCTGGATTAGTTTTTCTGGCAGATTCACAAACTATAATCAGTTGAAAGAAGCCAGTGAGCATCAGTGCATATGGCATATCTTTTGTGAGGGGCAAGAGGGAAGCAAGTAAGGAGGGCTGCATTGTTTTTACCACTGTCAACACATTAAACAAGCATATGCCGGGGAGTATAGCTCCAGCTCATCAAGAACAGTAAAAGTACAAAGCAGACCAGCATCTACCTAGCATATCATGGAAAATGAGGTCAAGGAGTGATTGTTTTTCCAATGAGACTTGTGTTTAAGGTACAGTTTTCCCCCATGAGCATAAGCCAGTGTGATTTCTGTTTGCACAAGGTCAGTGACCCATGTGTGACACCACCATGTGACCAAATGCGTAAGCAGGGATGAGAAGAACCACCCCACACATCACACATGTAGTTGTACATCATCCTCATTGAAACCACTTTCTGTTTAAGGATGCAAACAAGTTCAACAAGTTGATCCTATTTATACACAGTAGTTCCTAAATAGGTAACCGAAGGTATCTAGCATGGCTGACTAATAGCTGCTGCTATATTTTGGAAGGAAATAAAGTATCAGCAGTATTTTTTTTTTTTTTTTTACAGCAGTTATGAACTCACTAGTATTTAGGAAAGGACAGGGTGTTGGTGCCAAAACGGCTGGTTTTAGGATTGCACTGGTGTAACTCCCCTTAGCAAGTAAGCTTTTTGTTACAGTAGCATGAACACTAAGTACACAGAGACTGTAACTCAAGTCTGACAACTCTTACATCAGAGCTAAGTGTCACCATGCACCAATTTTGACTGCATTATTCTACTACCATTTTATTCACATTAAAGACACGTTGTATTTGCCTATTCCTATGCTACAGCATTTTGACCAGGCTTCCTGTCATGTTTCTTCATCAGCTTCTATGAATGCACGAAGCGCTGCAAATCTGGCCAGGGCGTGGGGGGAGACACAACCCAACAAAAACCCCTGGGTGATTCACATATTTGAGCCACTTACAGACCTTTAAAAAAGAAAAAGAGTTTAAGGTGATGTTTTCAGCAGCTCTTTCAATGCTGTTTCTTCAGTCTTCAAGTATTTGTGACATAATTAAGATGCATTTAATTACTTGTGGTGTCTAACTATTAAGATTAGATGAGCTCACACTCCAGGTGAGCAGTGTGTGCATTGGGTGGGGGACAAGAAAGGCAGCAGGGAGAAGGTGCTGTACACGTGCTACAAGCAGAATGTGCATGCTTTTAGATCCTCATCAAGACAAACATTTGTTTTACAGCTCAGTGTTACACACCATTAACTATTCTAATGAAGACTGAGCTCATTTTTGCCTCACTGTTAGGAGTGTAAAGTTAGACTAAATACAAACTAGTCTTGTATTTACCTTGCAAAGTGCTAGACTAGCAATAATCTTTTCAGGCTGAAACTGTAAGGTTTTGAAATAGTGTTTGACTATAGGAGGCCAGGGTGAACCTAGCTTTAAAGTGGAACACATGCCGGCAGCCAGCCTTATCTTGGAAAACCCTTTTCAGGGATGTACTTCTGAACTGGTGTGCCCCGAGCCCCTTGTCTTGTGGGACTGCCAAGAAGTTACCGCCAGGTCCTGATCTTGTAGCTTGTGACGTGAGCCCAAAGGCAGGGAGACTCAGCCACTTTGCTGAATCGAGAGAAGTCAATCTTATGAACAAATAACATTGTAGATCAAATGCAAGGAAAACTAAGCCACCACCATGCAGGGAAGCGATCGCTGACGTCGCCTGGGGAATACACGCATGAAGCCTCAAAGAACTAAATTGGATCAAGGCATCACTTGGAGACAGTTTGAAGCAAAAGCTTGCACTTAGCTGAATTTTTTTCCACTTTCCAAACATCCTGGCCACAGGCTCTGGAATGTTTCCAAGGGAAATACTGGAAAGGCCAACTGCAGTGGACACATAGAGCTGATGAATGCATCAGGCCCTCGCTAACATGTGGCCCTGTGTGAATCACAACTTGTCACAGGAACACATCCTACCAGAGGTCTACCGCAAGACAAAAATTGAGAGCTGTGTACCAGATACAATTAAGCAGCGTACAATTAAGCTGCAGAAAACAGAGACAAAACACTTGATTCACCAGACACTTACCAGACCTCTCTCTGCATCTTTATCAGGTGAAGCAGCTGGAAAACAAGATAAATGTTTAAGAAACTTTTAGGAGTTGCAGCAACTTAATCATAGCTGAATTCACACAAGATTTATATGCAGTAGACATATTCGTAACACAAACCAAAGCTCTAATACAAGCCACTTAGTTTCTTTCACCTGTCATACATTTCAGGAGAGTACCACCCTTAGCTTCCAACAACAACACAAACTCTGGGCCTTCATACAGGGGATAAAGAGCCTTGCTTAACAAAATACAGACTGCAAGATGCAGTTTGTCTTTTAAGCCACTCTTTCAAGCTCCCACCTCCCCCCAGCTCATGCTTCTTAGCATTGCTGTGGATTATTGCAAAACAAAAAGAGAAGGCAGAAATTGTCTTTAAAGCATTACAGTCAGTAAGACATGATTTGAACAAAGCTAATATTCAAAATTCAGAATAATTTTCAACAGTATTTTAACTAGTTGCAAAAACACTTGAATATGAAATAGCGGAAAGAAATGTTTCTCAGGAAAACATCTCCATTTTCACTAAAAAAAAAAATATAATTCACACAGGACTTAGCAACCTAACTTTAATGTTAAAAGGCTCAAACGATGAAAGGGCAACAATTTGTAGAAAAAAATCTCCACAGTGAATGAAGATAGTTAACAACCTAATTAGTTGCCACTTCTTCCTCATACCTCTGAGCTCACGCACAGATTTTTCTCACTCTTTGCCAATACAATGCAAGTAGATAAGAAAAGTCCTTTTAAGGACCTTATGCTAATCTTGTTTTGAAGCAAAAGCATGTGTCAGCAAAGTAAGAAAGCTCATAGTTAAAGTTCGTGCATTTTATTTGCTGAACAAAACTAGTCACCATTATACAGGACTGACTTAATTGGATCACATACTACATGAACTAGATCTTAAACAGGCCCCCTGTGAGGCAACACAAAAACCAGGGATAGCCTTCATGCACGCTTTGCCTGTTTCTGGAAAGTTTATGGATAATAATCAAGCAGTTACCTTTACTGCTCTTCAGCTTTCTAATTACAAGCAGCAGCAACAAACCACCAACAACCACCGAAATAATCACAATAATCCAAACAAGATATGTGCTTCCTGCGAAGAAAAAAAGGAATAAAATTAGTACTGAAGCAGTCCCCAGGCAAGATATTCTGAAGTGCAAGTCTTCCCTGCTGCCCTAGAGAATAACCTAAGCTCAGCACTCGTACAGTGACTTAGCTTATCCTGGAAAAGGCACTGGGACTATCAGCTGGCCTGAACATGCAAGTTACTCGTTCGCACTGCACATCATCCCAAAGGCAGTGGGGGATTCTGCACAGACCTGCAATGAAGCTTCTGCAAGGCTTTCTGAAGAGGTATTTAAGAAAAGGGGGAAACAAGCATGCAAGAGGTGCTATAGCACTGGTAGTGCCAGTTCCTTTAGTTCCTTTAGTCTGGCAGAAGCTGAGAAAGCTATTCCATAGGCAGCTTCTCAGACATAGAAAACATTAAATAAATCTTTGCACTATCCATAATTTTCAACAGTGTCACTGCTGCAACTCTGAAAACCCAAGCAACACATGTAGCTTTTCACCAAGTTAAATTTGTTTGTCAGGACAACCCCTTTGAGAACTTGCCTTTAGCAAGTAATTCCCAGACCAAAATACAGCAGCTGTTAAACATGTTACAGTAGTTCAAACCACTGTTTTACAGGCTGCGCTGGTGCTATTAGCCTGAAGCCACAGACCCAACAAACCAAGCTGAGAGGTATTTGTGTACCAGACCTTGATCGGGTAAGCCACATCCTAGGTCCATAGTAGCATTGCAATTCTGCACAATTTCTTTCCCTTCCGGACACCTGAAGTGGATGGCAACACAGGGTTGTATCAACATTTCCAGAGCAATATGCAACTCTGCCCAGGCCTGATTTTTTTTCAGGCAGAGTTTAGAGACATGAAGAACATGCATAAACAGATAACTTTGTTAGAAGTGCACCTTTAAACAACCCAAGGTAATACTACAAGATTAAAGAGAAGTAAAGCAGATAAAGCTCGTTTATGTTAGTCTCTAAGTGGCAAGGAAAAAACCCCACAGAGTAGCTGCATCATTCATGCACAGTTTTCTTCAACAGGTGGTTCTACCTCCCAAAATTTTGGGCTGGCTGCTACAAAGCTCATTCAAGTGTGATGTGGGGAAGTACTAATCTGAAGACATGAAAAGTGTAAGCTTACAGCCGTAAGCAACAAGCACAACAATACCAAAATCTGTATCTTTCTAGGTCTCAACCTCATGTATTTTGACACCTAAAATTTAAATGCATGAATAATGTCATTTGGCTTCAGGGCAATTATTTACAGCTTAATAAGATGTGTTAGGTATTGCCACAGATTGGGCCATAGCTCTAAGATTCTCTAGAAGGAAAACAGTTGCTTATATTCATTATCAAACTTACATTGTACTGCATCTCTGACATATTTCACAGCCCTCGGCAGGGCAGAAATACCCTTGTTTGCATTGGCATTCAGTATCACGCGTCAGAGTACAGGGTCTCAGAGTTACCTGATCTAAAAATAAAACATAAGTTACAAAGTAAATTAAAAAAGCTGTGACTCTCTACAGCTGTGCAAAAATTATACTCAGGCCATAAAGGCAATTTATTTATAAGTTCAGTATTATCAATGACTGGAAGAACAAAAACAAACAAACAAACAAACAAAAACAAACAAAAAAACACCCCCAAAAACCAGAAGGCCAGACTTTCCACATTAACAAAGGGGAAAAGGGTTAAGGTTAATCAAAATCATGCTTGATACCATCTTTGCACTGTGTGCACGTCAAGCATTCTTCCAAGCCGTTCTCATGGGCAGTATAACTCTCTCCTTCGGTGCAAGGGACACATCTTCCTTGCAGATGGGGAGCACTGCAGTGCTGGGCCACGTAAGTACCTGCGGAAGAGGAGAAGCGGCGGCAGTCTCAGGGGCTCAGTTAGCAGGCAGAGGACCGTAACACGACGTTACGACACAAAGCCCCGTTGGGTGAAAGTTCAACCCATCCTCACAAGCAAGCAGCGTGCCACGTGAAGCGAGCGGCACAGCCAGGCTGGGAGGCACGTTCCCAGTTTGCCGCTGGGCTGGCAGCGGTGGCAAGCGAGGCAGCCGGCCAGGCCCTGCTGGGACACACTGGGGACGGGGATGACTCACAGCAGCGGCTCGGAGTCACCCACGTGGCTGGCGCCATCTCTTCTGAAGGCAGGCAGCCAGCCCAGGAAGAACTGCTTGTACCAACCTCTCTTCTCCTTTGTCTGAATTATCTCTAAATACACCCGACAGCCCTCCGGTACTACCTTAGGGCAGGGTGCTTCTTGGCACAAGGCTTGTTAACTCGGCACACATTAAGCAAGCAGGGGACAGAAAAGGCAAACCAAAGTTTTACCTACAGATACAGAATTCCTCTACACTCATTCTTTATGCTAAAGTGGTGTGGTTTGGTTTGTTTTTTTTTTTTTTTTTTTCTGACTTTAAACACTTCATCCCCAACAGTGGGCGGAGGTTTCCTGGCTTGCCGCCACGGCGCCTCTCCCAGCCATCACCTATTGTGCAAGGGGCTCTCGCTTCAAGATGGAACCTGGCCTTAGCAGCACCAAGAAGCCACCGCGGCCCCGAGTGGGCTTACGCTTCCACCAGATGCAAACTGCAAAACGAGAGCAGTGCAGTACTCTCCGTAGGGAAAACCCACGGCCACTGCCAGCTGTGGGTGCCGAGGCCTCACCTGCCGGACACAAGAGGCAGCAGTGACATTCATGCAAGTACTCTCCGTTCCCGCAGATCTCTGCTCCGGTTCCAGGCATCATCAGCTGAGTAACCTTCAGTGGAGACACAGGTGTTTGAGTGATTCATCCTCCCAGGACACGATAACCATCGCGGGGAGATGGTTCCTGTAAAGACTTGAAAACACCTTCAGAAGTTCACGGGAAGCCACAAAGGAAACCCAAACTAATTTCTCCTAAGTGTGCCGCTCACAGCGGTAATTACAATCACAAAGCCGGGGTTGGAGCAGCAGCGTGCAGCGGCTGACAGGTTTTATTGCCCCAAGATCCCCGCCTCCATTTTGAACTTCTGTTTTCTTTTTACTAATTCACTGCAGCTGAACTTCAGAGGCCGAGGTTTCTGCCTTGTGCCAGGGATTCGCTTCTCCCTCCTCCCACCTTTTTAATTCAGGAGGGTCAGCGTTAGCCTTCCTCCCGCAAAACGAGGGAAACGCCCCAGAGACCTCATCCAACATTTCTCGCTGGCTCTGTAATCTTAAGCAGAAGGCAAGTAGTTGAGTCATTAACAAAAATAACTTACTGTAGCCGCAGGAGCGTTAGGAACTATTTTTTTTTTTTTTTTTTTTTGGCTGTTTTTCCCGTAAGAAGCCCGCGGGACGCACGCCGCTCGGCAAACTCCCGGCGGAGCGGCCGCGGGTTCCGGGCCGCCGCTGTCCCTCTCTCCCTCCTTTTCTCCGTCCCTCCTTCCTTCTCTCCCTCCCAACACACAGGCGGGGGAAAGCGGTGAGACAGGGGCCGGAGGCGGGGAGGCACCGGCGCTCAGTGCCCGCAGCGACCGATTCTAACGCTGAACCCGAGCCCCCACCGACCTGCTCCCGCAGCTCCGCGCTTTCAGCTCTCTCCCCAGAGGGCTGGAAGTCTTCCCCACAATCGCGGAGCTGAGAAAGCCACCAATTTCACAAGTGGATAACGGGCGGGCTATTAAACAGCTCCCTCCCGACTTGTACTTTCCTCCCCGGCGAGGAGGGCGGCAGCGGTTGCGCTGGCGAGAGGCTCATCGCCTGCCCCCGGGGACTCCCCGCAACTCGGGGCCGGGTTTACCCTCGCCACAGCTGTGTTTCCTCGTCCGCTTAGAGCTTTAGGAGAGCTGTATAAACTCCGGATTCCCCGAAAATTCAAACAACACGAAAAAAAAAAAAAAGTTAAGTTACTAAAGAGCGTAGAAAATCCCGCAAAGCTCTTCCGCGCTGGTCTTGGAGGAAGATTTTTTTTGTTGCTTTCCCTCAAAAGCAGGGGTTTGGGGGGCTGGTTGCGGCCAGGTGTCAGCCCCCACTCACAGCGGGCCGGTGGAGGACGAGCCCCCACCCGCAAACAGCGGCCCCGGGCAGAGATTTTCCCCTCCCGCGGCCCCGGCCCGGCACTCACCAGCAGCAGCCCCACCAGCCCTCCGGTTTCCATAGCAGCGCCCAGCACAGCCCCGCTGCCGCCCGGCTCGGCACGTTCTGGGGCGCTGCCACCGCCCCTTTATCCGCCCCCGGGGCGGGCCGCCACCGCCTTCCGCCCGCCGCCCCCGGCCTCCCGAGTCCCCGCGGAGGAGGAGCGGGACGGCGGAGAGCGTGCGCCCCACCCGCGGTGCGGGAAAAGCCCGCCGTGCTGTTAGGACATGGTCCTGGCCCCAAGCTCCGCACCTATACGGAGCGGGGGGGGGGAAGCCGTGGTAGGAAACGGCCCGATTCGTGTCTCCCCATCCAAAGCTCACGCGTTGCTGCTGAAAGGCTAACTCTCTGATCACAAAAAGGAGGGGCATGGATGCAAGGAGAATTTTTCCAAACCCGCACAAACTAGGTGCATAACCGGGTTTTCTAAAGCCCTCAAAGGGTCCTCAACTTTTTCAACAGCAGTTATTCCTTCTAGAGAAATAACATATCTGGCCATGATTTTCCTCTAGAATACCTCTCATCCTTCATGTGCATGCAACTAGCATGTAAGAACATTCACCTCCAGGTGTTGAAATTGGATTAAAATGAATGGCACAAGGATTTATGGATTGTTCCTTTTCGAACTATCTTTTAATCCCCTGCGGCAGCAGCAATAAATGTTGGAAACTCCTCCTCTGCTGATGCATAATTAGTTTATGTAGGTTAATAGTTTCTTTCATTGAACTGCTCCTTTCGTGGTAACAGCACTTGTTTTATTTAACTGCAGTAACAAGTCCCAGTGAAATCCCTGTGGGTGCGTAGTTTGTAAAATGGAAACTCTCCAAAGAATTTCAAGCATTTGCTTTACACCCACTGAAGGCTTCCTGTTCAGCATTGCTTCACGTTGGTTCAGGTGGGTTTGGGGATTTATTTATTTTGAGTAACTACATGTCAAACCCAGAATATATTTGTACTCCAGAGATGTAAATATCCCTGAAGAAGAGGAGAGGCTCCCGTCAGGAACTGGAAGACGTGGTCCCAAAGGGGGCTGTGTGTGATGAGGAAGGCTGTGCGCACGGGCCAGAGGTGTGCTGACTTGCTGAAGCATTCAGAGGGAGGTTTAGGCAGGAAATCAGCAGGCGTGTTTGCTCAGCGTTAGGAGCGAACGCTCTCAAGGTGCAAAGGGGACTTTGCACAGCTGGGCAGGCATCGCTAGTGGTGGGACGTTCTTTCCCAGGCAGAGGCCAGGGGGACCCTCTCCAAGTCTGACACCGCACGTGGCACGGGTCACACTTCCTCAGAGAGAAGTGACTAAGATGATGTCCTTCAAAACGGCACCCGATCTGGATCAATAAAGTTGACATTCTTCAAGGATGATCCCTCAAGGATGAAGAATCCTTTCATTTTCTGGAGACTTCTGCTAATAATGAAGTCGCTCTCACTTTTTATTTGTGATCTGTCTCTCGAATGTCAGCTTCTGCATGCCAGCTCTTATCCTGTCTGTTCATGCCAGGGAGCCTTGGTTCTCTCCACAGAACTATATATTCTTTATCATCAAGTTACCTCCTTAATATAAAGGTTTTCTAAGTCCAAGACAAGTCTGTACATTTACATGTACAACAGAGGAAAGCAAGGCAACCACTTTTCTTTCTATTTTGAGGAAGTCGCTACAATTAGAAGACAGGGACAATTTCAGCCAGAGGAGTATAAAAATGCTCTTGCTGTTCTAACTTACGGCCTATGTCTGAGGTTCCTGAAGGCTTTTTCCTATAGCTGTCCCTCTAAAAAGCATGTCCTAAGAGTTGTTTACTTGTAAAATGCTATAAAACACAAACCCAAGTTCAAACACAGAAATAATGTCAGATAGACTGCCACTGAAAGTTGTGTGTAGTTTTATTTCAACATATCAAGCACAAACAGGTTTCCCCTAACTGGGGAATATGACGAGGAATGTACTTAAAAACTTGGAAACATTTACATTGAAAGATAGCCCAGACTGGCACCACCACTAAGTATTTTAAGGCTGTATATATAGCAGTACTTACCACTTGGAACTACTTCAGGCCAGAAAAGAAAGGCTTAGTACTGTCCGCAGTCTACAGAAAATATTGCAAATCTTTAAAAAATGGTGTAAAATAGGAAGACTATTAACAGAGTTGAACAATGCAGTGGCAAAACCCTTCCTCCTTCCTGACCTTTGACAATAAATGTGCCTACAACCAAACTCACGTACATCTATATCGCTCCCATCCTTCTCACCTCTCCTGGGGCAGTGGATTCCTCTCTATAATGCTAGTGTGTGATATTATAAAACAGCCATATAGCAAATAATAACAATAATAAGTGACCAGGTTTTACGAACAGGCATGTCTGATGCTACACTCGATGGGCCTGATCCAGGACACCAGACAGCTCCGTAACCAAACGAGGAGCTTCCACTGAATGCTTCCCATTTCCTAAAGAGGAACGGCTCTAGGAAATTGTGCATATTTACAGTTCCTGTGGAATGGAAAATGAAACACATCCTGAGGTCCCATTCTGTGTGTGCTGACAAAACAGATCATGACTTAATATCCCGGGGGTGGATTTTTTGGACCAAGTGTGCTCCCTCCCATAATTAAAGGCAGCTGGACAGGCACCGTGGACATCAGTTCTTTACAGCTCCCTCACTGCACTCCTTCACTTGTAGAGCTATGACCCAGGCCGGCGTAACCTGTCCCAAACGCTGGGGTGTTTACCATTTTGGGGGTACCAATACTGCTGGGTAATTATTAATTGCATCAGAAAATGACAAGACATAGAAAACAAATTGCACGATTAAAGCTACATTTGGCTTCAGCATTAAGGCCCATACAGGTTAAGAGGTCCTTGGAGATGTACATGTAAAAGGCAAAAATGACATAATCTGCAGGAACAAAGTTTTGCAGGTTCCTAGGTCCCTTTTTAACCTCGTTTTTCAACTTTCTTCCACCTCTGCCACATTGGTTCTAAAGTGCTTTGGTGCCTCTCTGGGCTCCTTGCGCAAGTGGCCCCCCTCCTGCAGCCAGTAATCGTTATTGCTGCCAAACGTAGTGATTTTATTTGAAGACATAATTAATGAATAGTTGACACGTAAGAAAGATGCAGAGGAGAAACCAACAGCGAGAGTCCAGGAGGAAGCTTTCAGAAGAGACCTTCCTGTGGAAGGACTTTTTGTTCAGAGCACTGAGGTTTCTGGAAAAGAAAGCAGTACGTTTATTTGTGTGTCAGTAGGAGGTGTGCATCCACACGTGTGCGCGTACCCACAGCTCCCACACCAGGAGGGATCCCCACACTTCAGAGGTACCCTCATGGGTACAGCACTGTGCCCCGCAGAATTTACCTCCCCTCTTTTGAACAGAAAGATAAGAACTCCTGGCTGCTTCTGGATCAGGCAGAGCACGCCGGGCAGCATGAGAAGGTGTAAGGGCACAAACCCCAAGAAATCTCTTCCTCCAGCACAAACTCACAAACCTATGCCTGGACCTTCCCAAATACAAGAACTTGCCCTGGACACCCCTAAGAGCAGCAGGGAAAAGCTAAAGTCCTATCACTGATGGCTCCGGCATGAAGAAACAGTGAGCCTCGTGTGGTCCCACCCTGCTGAAGGGCTGGATGATACTCCTTACACAGAGGGGAAGCAGACGTAGCAGTGAATCCCTCCCCATGGGAGTCTGCAGGGCAAAGCCCTTTGCCAGCAGTAGATGAAGCAGGTGTGCTCACTGCTTCCCTCAGACAGCAATTAGCAATTTATACAAAAAGCTGGAATTTAGTGCTTTTCACCCATGGGCACCGGTTTTCAGACCACACGCCTGCAGCTCTGCAGCAAACTGAGCCAATTCATAACATACTTGATGATAAGGGAGACCCCACACCTTCTGGCCAAGCAGAGATTTGTTCATAGCCAGGACCTGGCCCAGCTCCTCCCAGCTTCTGCAGCGGTTTTGCAGTTGGGACGGCCAAGAGATGCTTAATGTGCCGAGGTGATGCTTTCCGCCCCATAAAGAGAGTCTTAAGAGGAAGAGATTTCCTCCCTGTTTCAAGCAGGGGGTGGGTGTGCCTTTCCGGTGTGTTAATAGGTTACCTATTAAAGCAGCTGTTAACTGAACCCCTGCAGCTTATAAGGACGCTTCAAAGGCCACGGTGGAGGCATTAAATGCCACAGGTTACTTTTAGCCCATTAAAATCATTGATTTGATGAGAAAATGGTTACCTGTGTATGTCCTGTTGGGCTCTCTGTAAGGATAACACGGCTGAATGAATTTCCTTCAGGTGATTCATTTCTTTCCCACACTGAGCGCACAGGCTTTCAAACCCTGCAGCAAGGTATTAAAGGACATTATGTTTTGCATCACCATCTCTGGTGGCAGTGATGAAACACAAACCAGGTTCACCCAGCAGGTAGCTGGATGTGATCAATTTGTCACAGCTGGGGGGACACTTTCAGGAGAAAATGGGGGGAGAAGGAGATGGGATGGAATCTTCCGCCCTGAAGACCCAGGTTAATGGAACGGGTCCTGTGACACTGACCTGGGGCCCCTTCTTGGCTCTCGGGAAACAATTTTTGCAGCATGCTCCCCAGCTGAGAGAAGGTGAATGGAGTGCTCACACCTGCCCCCATTTCTGAAACATTTAAGGCCACCTCCAACAAAGGCTGAGAAAAGGAATGAGGAAAGAAGCCTGTTTCCAGTCTGTTGACTGGAATATCAGAGTGCCTTTCCAACACATTTGTGCCAGGAGTTGGGAAGCCCTTATTGGCATGGATAGCATAAGGCAAAAAGAGAAGTAGTACAGATGGAGAACAGAAGAGCAGAATATTCTCTGTGTTTGCTTGTGGGCCCACAGTATTAATTGGGCCAGGAAACGTTCCAGGGCTGGCTCAGAGAATAAGGTACGGAGGGGAGAACATCAAAGCCCAACCCAGTGATACCCAAATACTTGCCATCGTCATCAGAGAGCTCCTGCACCGACTCTGGCGTTGAACAGCTGCTCTCTGTATTCTGGCTGTGGTTGGACGGCTGATCACTGGTTTTGCGGCGCCTGCAGTCTTTGGCAGACCTCTGGATAAAACAGGGATTA